CAGGTACCATAGCTGAGCCACAGAGCATCAGAGCATGGAGTCCAAGGGTCTGGGTTCCATCTCTTTTTGGGGACTTAGAATTTTTCTTTGTCCAGCACCTGTGACAAGGAGAATAACATCTGCTTTAATTTTGATGACGAAGCTCTAAATTTATATCATTTTGTATTTTGTTTACTCATTGTTGCTTTTGACTTAGCTGATACCAGCTGTGTGCTGGACATGTGTCATATTAACCTTATAACTCCCCATAGAGTTCTCTCCGGCTCAGTGGTAGGGCAGTAGAGTGTGGAATCCCAAGCTTTTAAGTTTGATTCCTCATGAAGTCTCAGAATTGTTTTCTTTGTTCCATGCACAAGACAAAAAAATTAACACCTTCCTTTAATTTATAACCAGGCTTGAGATTTATTATCTATTATGTTCTGAGTAACTTGTCTTTTACTTGTTTTCAGGCCTATAGCATGTATAACTTGACTGAATTCACATCTTTATTAATCATTAAGTTAAGCAAACCACAAATGCAATATTTTTGTCTTACTGAGAAGTTAGTTTACCAAGAAATTCAGAAAACAGATAGCTAATTTAAATCTGCTCATTTATTTTTTTTCAATTGTGTTTTTCAGGACTAATCTCCCAAAAGAAGTAATGGCCTTTCCTGATTTTCCTTTTCCCTCAGAATGGAGATCTTTCATTAGTCATCAACAAGTTCTCAAATACCTTGAAGACTATGCCAGTCATTTCAATTTATACAAATATATAAGTTTTGACTCTACCATTACCAGTGTGCATCCAATCACAAATGAAGACAGTCACAATCCTCAGTGGGAAGTTGTCATAACAAATGCAAATACTAAAGAATCCAAGAGTTGCATATTTGAAGCTGTGGTGGTGTGTTCTGGGTAAGTTCAATGATGTCCTAACCCTTTTTAACTCCCAGAAATGATAAATATTTATCTTCTCCCCATAAGGTCCTTACATTATCCATCAAACAGGTATGGAGAATACTCAAACTTGTCAGGTAGAAGTTGTTATCTTGAGCCAACACCAAGTACTTGTAACTAATTTACAAGGAAATCTGTAGCAGCTAGAGGGGAAAATAAGCCATGAGATCTTGAGAGTTAGAGAGTTTAGACATGGAATAACTAAATTAAATATGTGTTATTTTCTTTAACAAAAGTGGTTGGACACCAGTCATGATCTGTTTTACCTGGTTTCTGGTTTGTACTTTCTTCTTTTGATATAACATATAAGATTTTTAGCCTCCTGGGATTTTTCTTCACTATTTCATAACCAAAAATAAGAGGCTTAGATTGATGTTTAGCTAAAAAAAAATTGCCTAGGGTTGAACTAGTTGAGGGCATTTTTGACTGGAAACTTTTCTGTTATCATAATGTACTAAAAAATGTTAAAGTCAGAATTGATTTTTTGAATTTGGAGTGTTTTGGATATTCTTTGGATCTAATGGTTCATGTGTTGAGTTGCCTTTTGCTGAACTCTCACTAGTAACATTCCTTTCATGCTCATTAGAACAGATTAATCTAGGGCAATGTTAACTTTTGTGACAGACACTTTTTATGTTATGAAAAGCCTTATAATATATAATGACCTGTGGAAAAGGATAAAACTTTAATGAGGTCCCCCTGGGAGAAGATCAATACAAATCAGAAATGAAATATTTGAGAAAGGGGATAAACTTTTCAAGATGCATGAATTGTGACATATATTTCTGCAATCATCCTCTAACAACTTCAATATCATGTTTGGTTCCAGGCATTTTTTTGATCCTCTTATACCAAGTATTCCTGGGCTGGAGTATTTTGGTGGACTGGTGATGCACAGTCATGATTATCGTGATCCTCATCCCTTCCAAGGAAAACATGTTGTTGTTCTTGGTGCCTCATCTTCTGGTCAAGACATCTCCCTGGAAATTGCTAAGATGGCAGAAAGAGTGTATCTTAGTCATAAAGGACATCTTTCTTGTAAACTGCCAGACAATGTGGAGGAATGCAGACCAATGTCATGTGTATCATCCGATGGGGTGGTTCATTTTGATGATGGAGAACAGAAAGAGGTGGATGCTATTTTATTCTGTACTGGTTACAACTTCTCATTCCCGTTTCTTCAGAGTGACTGTGGGGTTGAAGTGAGAGATAACAGGGTCACACCTCTGTACAAACACGTTTTCAGTACAAAATATCGTACGTTGTCATTTGTTGGGCTCTGCCTGAGGATTTGCCCATTTCCAGTGTTCAGCTTTCAGGCTCAATTCATTGCAGCTGTTTTGAGTGGAAAGGCTAAATTGCCATCTGAAGAGGAAATGAATGCTGAAGAAGAACAGGAGTTCAAAGAAAAACTTGCCTCCGGTTTGAGGAAGAAATATGCTCACTTTCTGGGTGAGAAACAGTGGGACTATATGAGATGCCTTGCACAGCTTGCTGGGGTGCAGCCCCCAAGTGAAGCTTGTGAAAATCTTTATAAGTTTATTTCTAAAAGGAGAAAAGAGTTCTTAATGGATTATAAAAATGATGAATATGAGTTCACTTCTAATGGAAAATGGAAAAAGAAAATAGATATGTAAACAGTAGTGATAAACATACATGTACACCAATACTGCAAAGCTTGTAGTAAGGAGGGGGGTGGGGTCAGGGGGCTTGTTACTTTCCAGGGCTTCTTGACAGGGTATTACAAAGTAGAGTCAGTAAATCTTCATAGAGAGAGTATTTATCTTTCCTCTGAATGATAGCTCAGATTAATAATTTATGTTTGCAATATGCATTTCTTTGACTGAAACCTTTCATGCTTGCAAGCACAAAGATATTTTTTGTTACCTGGCCCAAAATTTGTTACAATGAAATTATTTTTTACGGTTTTTGATTAAAGAGAAGGAAAGGGTTGTTATTGTTTCATTTGCTGAAAACTCACCCTGTAAACTCGTTTACACATCGTTTTTCTTAATGTGTGGGCTCTAAAGAGTTTTAGCCTGATCTTGACTTGCTGCTGAAATTTTTTTTTTTTTTTTAATAGATAATTTTTAGCTTTTTCAGTCTCAAGGTCAATAAAATTACCAAAATGTTATCAACAATAATGGTTGGACTGTTATTTTCTGTAGATAATATCAAGACAATGGTTTTCGTTCTTGAGCTGAAATGCCACAATGGTAGGCGTTCTCATTGCCCATTACATTTTAGCCGACCAGGTTTCAAGTATGGATAGCCCTCTCAGCAAAATGTTGTTGTTGTTGTAGCTTTTTTTCTTTTGCATTTTTTGATACTTTCGTTTTAATGCTAGTATTAATTTTTTTGTATAATTTTCATATAGCTGTTACTTGTCGGTTACTGCGATGTGGATTTTGTTTTCCTATGGGTAGACTACCTTATGAGATCTTTGACATTTAAGACTAACCATTGATACAACAACAAATTACCGAACATGCATTCGGCACGGCTTTTTTCTCGCCTCAACTCCCCATTTCTTTTTGCTGACCCGCCATGCTGTGAACAAACGGAGGGTTGACAAACAACTCACAAGGACACACTGAGAAATGCGGGTGGGTCAGCAATAAGAAACTGGGAATGGTAGCGAGACAAAAGGCACTTGAGGCAAACCACAACAGAGAAAGCAACGAGAACTTGACGAGACATAGAACTTAATGAGCACAGCAGTAGCTCAGCGCATGAGTTTTCAACCTTGTACGTTTTCAAGCCTTTTTCTGCAAAACAGCAACATTAATTCCCCAAAATTTAAGTGGTCTGTGAACGAAAACCCTGACAGCGAATTATTCACGTTTTATTTGGAAAAACAACGCGACTTTTCTATGTTACGCTCTAGTTGAGGTCAGGTGCCGTCGGAGACGGTGGAAAGATTACGACAACCCCAGTATAGTCTTGAACAAACCATTTGCCTCGGAAGTAACCTATTGTTTTCGCCATTGTTCTTATGAGTGTGGGGCCCTCCGGAATCTTGTCGAGACGGCTTAAAACACTTTTTTCATTAATTAAGGAAAGTTCACGTTTCCTTCAAAGTTTCCGCCCTGACTAATTCAGGTCCCAAAAAGGTCTGGCCATTCCACGACTTGGTGAGTTTCGTCATTTATAAATTTTGTATGACGGTTACGATTTAAGTACTGGATTGTAGGATTTTCAGGGCATCTCGTTCTGAAAGTCACAGTAAAGTGGAACGTTTATTTTGATGTTTTGAATTTGAACACTGTTGTGGTTAGGCGCCGTTATTTGCAGTCTCAGAGGACGAGATTGTGACCGCTTGGAGTCTATTTCCAAGCTTTGTCTCCTCCTCTTCAAGAAGCCACCGTTTGTGGTTCACTGCAAAACGTTACAGAAAATCTGGTGAGTTTTGTCATTTCTAAATTTTGTATGACGGTTACGATTTAAGTACTGGATTGTAGGATTTTCAGAGCATCTTTTTCTGAAAGTCACAGTAAAGTGGAACGTTTATTTTGATGTTTTGAATTCGAGCACTGTTGTGGTTAGGCGCCGTTAGTTGCAGTCTCAGAGGACGAGATTGTGACCGCTTTGAGTCTATTTCCAAGCTTTGTCTCCTCCTCTTCAAGAAGCCATCGTTTGTGCTTCACTGAAAAACGTTACGTTATAGAAAATCTGGAGAGGCCATAAAAAAACTACACCCAGAAGTTAACTTGTTGGCTAAAACCATACTTTACATTTTGATAGCTGCAAAGAAGGGACATCTGTTTTTTTCCTTCGAGCTTACACAGTTATCGAGACAACTATTTATAGATTGTTCTGAGTCCAGCCAACCGATGTAAATGAAAGACAGACTCCATTAATACACACTAAGATTACGTTTTTTCCTATCTAATATTACTGATCTGATATTACGCATGCAAAATTTCGGCATGCTTATTCGCTGAGAACACGTCCGTTAATCCCAAACAGCGCAAAGAGTTGAAATTTAATTTTTACCATATTTATTAATCAAAGCGCACATTGTTGACATATCGTTATCAAAAAGAATGATGTGGTTGCTTTTCATAAGGATGTTGCGATTTGCTGAGAGCCTTCAAAGCGACTGAAAAAGAGAACAAAGAAGAGTGATAAATAAGAGGAAAAAGAATAAAAATGGCTTTTATTCAGAAGACGTTTATAATTGACAATCTACGGTGCAACATACACTGTAGATAGACTTAAACCCTTTACTCCCATGAGTGACCAAGACAGAATTTCTCCCTACAATATCAATATAATATCAAACAGACAAGTGACAAGAATAAAGAAAATATCAGTCAGGGGATTATAAGTTGATCCAATACATAATTCCCCAAACTAATATCACAAGAACTGTATGGCAGACAGTAAGGAGAATTAATAATGAGATCTTGGGAGTTAAAGGATTAAAGCACCTACGTCAATGTTAACGTTGTTTGGGAGGGTTCAAAACAGTATCGATTTTTTTGCACCAAATCTTTGATGGATCGTAGTTTATATAATGATGATAGCAATAAACATAACGATTACAATATTTATTTTGTGCCAGTATCCTACAGTTCAAATGAGTTTTTCAATATTTGAGAGATCTAAAAAGAAAATTAAAAAAAAGCGATGGAAACACCTTTTTTAAAAGAAGGAAACGTTTATTCATTGGAAATCGTAAAAAAAAAGCCAAATTTTCTTTTTGACATATTAGGTTACCACAGCTACACCACGGCCTCTCAAAACACCCATAATCATACCTCGTGTTCCTCCGACTCAAAAAAATAAAAAAATATGTACATACTGCTCAGCACCAGCTTCATTTTAATCATTTCAAGCCAACATAAACTGAGAGCACGGCACCTTACCGTACTTTCTCCAGAGTGCCATTAATCTTCTCATAAAGTTTCATTCTATTGTCCTCATCTCCAATGCCAAGCGCCTCCTCAGTAAATCTTAGCAGGCCATCCTTTTCATCCTGAAAAGAGTGTTTTGTAATGAACTGTTTCTTTTCGCTTGGGGTTAAACTGGGATGGATGGATTCCGAGAAACTACAATTAGGCGAAAACAGGTCTACTAAAGGGTACTCTGTGGAGAAAGGAGTGCATTTCGATTGGGAAATCAAAGAAACGATCAACCAGAAACTAAGATATCACAACAAACCGATGAGTGCTCATAGTAAAAACAACCAAACTACTGGAAGCGAGGGAAAACGAGAGTTAACAAACGGCATGATTGTTTGAAAGAGAAGCACAAGCTTTGGAGAAAATTCAAAATAGAGAAAAGTAGAGCCTTGAGTTAAATGTATAAAAAACCTGGATGACTTTAAACTCCCTTGTATATTGAGGATAAATGTCAAGATTTCAATTTCACTTAAATCACTTTAATCAGTGTTACCTCAAGTTCATTAATCTCCTGTAACAAGGACTCAAGCATCGTTCGCTTTTTAACATTTATCCCTTGATTAATCTGAAAGAAGAGGGTGATGATGCAGGTTATTTTTTCGCACAGAAAGTAGTCAAGTAGCATTTTATTGCTGACAGTGTTGTTACGGTTTATGAATGACAGATTTATACAGCAGTTTCAAAATCAGTACAGCGTTTTTGTATGTTTGTTTTCCTGTCCTCATACTCAAGGAGGACTGCTTAACCTATCTTTTTTTTAACCTGGAATATTTGATTTTTGGAGAAATGTATCGAGCTGAAAATCCATATGTAAGTTTGACTCCCGAAAAATTAGTTTAGTTTGACTTTCAGACTTTCAGATTTGTACAGTCTACTCTATGATTGACAGGTCAAGAGTATATATATGTACTTAGCGACTGAGTAAGAGCGCCGGACTGGAAAATATTTGCCTCTAACGTTTTCCAGTCTCAAGAAAAAGTTACAAAAACCTATGACATGTCAGTTGAGCGTCTCCAGGTAAAATACTCAAAATAAAGTGAGTCCGTATATACAAGTTCCATGAGACACCTTGGCTGTTTTTATACATTTAACAATACAATACAAAATGTTCCACAACTAACGATGCCAAATTATCTTTAGATTTTTAGTTATTTTTTTTCTCTGGAGGTTTTTCAATTTTTTCTGATTAAAACTTAGTCAGTCGTAATGTTTTGTCAGATTTTGTGATCGACTCTGTTATAGTGTTTGCCAAATTTGAAATATGTTTTGATATACCATATACGTACGATTTAGCACTATGAAGGAAACTTGATATCCTCAGATTACCTCACCTTTTTCTCATTTTGAAGAACTTTAAATTCCAGCTGTGATAGATTTATACCAACATCTGTAATTTTCTGAGTCAATTCTTTAAATTCACTCATCGCAGAGGAAATCAATGTCGACCTATCCTCTTGTTCATGTTTGGTCGTTTCAAAATTTGATGCCAGCGTCTCGATTCGCTGGCTTGCCTCTCTCAGATTCGAAGTCAGAACAGAAACACGGCTCTGTTTAAATGATGATCATTCATTTCATTTTTAAGAGGTTATTCTGAATTTGCAACGCCACAGGGTACAAGACTAGTCTCTACATTATGATATGTGAATTAAAATTGTACTCTTGACATTTTTTGGTGAAACAGTTATCCTGAAACTATGCGGGGTTTGTTTAACTCAATTTCATAAAAGAAATGCATTCAGAATTTTGTTAAAACAACCGCGAACATTCCGTTAACTTAGTTAATTACGAGCTGAAGGTTTTTGACTAATCAGAGCAGCTTCATTACCTATCCCACCCTAAAATAAAATAAAAATAAAAATGAAAAGAAATTTTTTTCTCATTCAGCGCTATGCCAAAGAGCCTGCCCTCGACCTTTCAGGTGTTCATAATTAACGGTTTTCTGAGTGAATTTTGAGAGACAGTTCCGGCATGCTTTTGTTCGGCAATCTTCGTTAACGATTGAAAATCCTTTGATACTCTTTTTAAAATGATTTAAGAATGAAAAAATTATAAACGATATCATTGCGCTTTTTACGCGAACGTTTTGTTGCTGTTGTATTTTTGGTAATATTTGTTGTTGTGTTTGTTGTTTGTTGTTTGTTTGTTGTTATTCAGCGTTGTTGTCGCTGTTTCTCGTTGTTATCATTGTGTTTGCTGTTGTTCTTCTTCTTGTGCTTGTTTTTGTTGTTATTCGTCAGTGTGTTTGTTTTTGCTGTGTTTGTTGTTGTTGCTGTTGTTTCTGTTGTTGTTACTGTTGTTGTTGTTGTGGTCAACAAGCTGCAGTCTAGAAAGGAATTGTCCTCACCTGTAGTACACGGGTGCGGTTGTCGGAGATCTCAAATTTCTCATCTTGTTCAGCCTCATTACTTTTAGCCTAAAATTGAAATCAGTTGGTTAATTTTATCATTTTTGAAGTTAAGTCTTGAATAACCTAAGGAACGATCTTTACCTTCAACTGTTTTACGATGTGTTCAATGGCGTCTAATAGTTCTTGGTTGTTGTTATGGATATGTTGGATACGTTTGTTCTGTTGTCGTAGAACTTCATTCAGATTACTTATTACATTGTTCTGCAAAAAGAAATAAAGTTGCAAACAGACATCTTCATTATAGTCGACTGAGAAAATAGGAAACAAGGTAGGAAGTTGATTATAGCTGATTAACCTCTTCAAATAAAACTGGCACAGAGCATTGTTTTCCCAATAAATCTTGTTTCCCACCGCTCTGACAAAGGAAAAGCTGACGTTCTAAATGCGAGATAATCATGTTTGGTTTTATCAACTGAGTTGATAATGTATATTGGCCACCGTAAAGTGTTTCAAAGCTAAAGTGATTATAACGTTAGCCCTTCGTCACAGCGAATACTTCGTCAGAACGAATGATTCACCATGACGAAGGAATAATTCTCCCTGCCCTGACTGTTCTGCCGGCAACGCGCAAATTTGACTTATCATTACACCCCTCAGGTCTAAAACATCAAGATGAAATTCAAGACGTATGAAATGGAGGCCTTTAAGCTGAATTTTATAAGCACAGAAGAGGAAATTATAATCACTGTCTTGCCCGCAGTGGCTGTATCTTCCCATGAAGTCGTTTTGTGCATTCGGAAAACTGCATTACACGAGCTTAGCCGAGTTGCCCTTCCATAAAAATAACACGGTCAATTGTAAAAAAAAAAGAAGTCTGCTCTATAAAACGAAAGAAAAGACTCTTTCAGTTCACTTGCCTTTTCTGCAAGTTGTCTTTCCATCATTCTTTTCCATTCTTTGAGTTCCTTCTTATCTACAAACAATTAAAACATGTATCATCAAGTTTAGTCATCTCCTTGTCAGAAAAATAATTTTAATAGGAAAGTCAGCTTCTTACAATTAGGCTTTGACTTCACAAGATTAAAAAAATTTCCCATTCTAGCAACGAGAGCGATTTTTGAATGAAGAAACTTTGTTTTCAAATTTTAAGTCAAAGAGTTCTGCAGCGACTGCGTAGCTAACATGATGACGACTTAAAGAGCTTTTTAAAAAGAAACTGCGCGCGCGCGCGCGCCGGAAGCTCGGGGAACTTTTCATCTGGGAAATCAAGATTTGAGTGTCAAAAGTAGTACAGCACTCTGTGATATCAGGAGACAACAACCACTTTTCATCTCATCACATAGGGGCGTTTTTATTCAGATACCTTCCAAATTTCATTACAGTATAAAGTTCAAGAACAGAATGAATATCGGAAGCATAGATAAAGCAGTTGTAGGGAGATTTAGCGTGATAAACTCCCACAGCGATCTACTGAATTGATCGGCTGATCATCTGTCTATTGATGGCACTGATAAACCATCCGTCTGATGACTATCGATCAACTGAGTCGCCTTGTAGTCACGTACGTTAACAGGACGACACCGCAGGTTTCACTTTCCCAATCCGCCCCGCTATGCATGATGGAGACAAAAGCTCTGTTTAAAACCAGCCTTACGCCGGGAAGAAGGTTTGAAGACAACGAAACTTCTACAACCTGCCTACCGAGAAACTGAAGAGTTGTATAAAAAATTTTTATTTCGACGCTAAGCTCTATTGTTAGTATTATTACTATAAATATCCTTATTCTACTTTCGCAACTTGATTACTGTTGACATCCTAGACATCCTTCTGTCTCAAAGACCTCAAACGTTGCCTTTCGAAAAAGCTTAACGGACGATCTAGAAAAGCTGACTGGAAAAGCTGACTGAAAAAGCTCTAAGGAATGCAATCCGTCGTGAGACCAGATATTGCAAATAGCATTGCAGAAAAGAACTCGTTGTACAACAGTAGACTTCAAAGGAACGCGAAATCAATTTACAACTCATTGGTTTATTGCCCATCGTCCTCCACTTATGCGGTTTTCGAATACAATCTTATGAAAACTTACATCTTAACCTCACTCGAATATTTTTATTGCCTTATTCTATAAGACACTTAGGAAAATATTTTATGTTATTGTTTCTGGAATAAAATTAGAACTCGTAATTTGAAGACTTTTTGAATCTTGATTAGGAAAACTTCTTTTTATAATCCAATTTGGTATATCTAGCTTGTTGTTTTACTTGTAATCCTATCTACGACAAATTGTCGGTCAAACTGACGCTCTCTTTCTCTGTTTTATCTCACCGATCTTTACAGGAGGTCAATGGTTTCTTCAATGCCTCTCTTTGTTTAAGGGACTTAATGTTTTTGACACTCTCAACACGATGTTGATAAAGTGAATGATAACTTCGATCTTCACTCGCGTCATAAATTAAAGAGCATATTTGTCTGTCAATACCTTTAATTTCTCTCCATCATATAAAAATGAACAGTTTTTGTTGTCGAAATATAAGAAGCTCTTAACGATGTTGGTTAAGCCACAGGTGAAGATAAAATCCTTCCTTAATCAAAACTGTCTGTATGTAGAAAGATAAAGCCACGCGATAACTCGTGAAACATCCATTATTATACCTTTTGGGTTGGCAAGGGGTATCTGAGAGAGGCTCAAATCTCCAAAAACATAGCTAGTTTTTAATAAGGTATCATGTTAATAAATTTAACTTTCGGTTTGTTTTCTTTTCTTTTTGAAAATAAACTGTCTATATCTCGATGCTATTGTTGAATGTTACTCGTTCTGTGACTGGTTGTTGCCTATGTCAAGCATTTTAATGTTCCACATAACTCTCATTCTAAAACTTTTGCAATTTCTATTTTGGGAGGGAGGTGTACTTCACGAGGAAATTAAAGTGATAACAGAGCCTTACTTAAAAGGAGAAAAAGCTCCGCTGAATCAAGGTCCTCTATGCCCCGTGAACCGCGGAGTATCTCTGCCTGATCACGTTTAGTCAACAGAGACCACCCACGAAGGTGAGCTAGATGCACGTTGCGTGATTTCACCCACCAGCAGTGATTGATTGAAATGTAAGGAATTAGTGATCATGCGATTGTCGCAAGGTACTAGAGGTATATCAGGGCTCTAGCTCTGAGCTGACACGACCACTGTGTACCGCAGGCTGGTAATAATCAAGAATCTATGGTTATGAGAATATCTTTGAATTGCAATTCCAATGTTGGTGTTCAATCTTGTTGTTTATACCACTTTTGACTCTATTTACGATTTGAGTTGTTGATTACGTAACAGTTCATCACCATGGTGATAACAACGACGTGGAGGAATCCCCCAAACAAAGAGTGCTTTAACAGTTTAAAACTACTTAGAGCTGAAGTTACTTTAAAAAATAATCGTTAATGACGCTGGCAAAAATAACAGTGGGCATTGAAACTTGAGTTTCAGCCCGCTTTCATTCACAACACCGTCTGTTTCTTTGTACACAATTTCAAAACTTTGATATAAGACTCAAACTTTTTCAAAACGGTCATAACGTCGAACTTTCAAAGTTAATATCGACCATCAGTTATACACTAACAGTTCGGTGTCACATAGTTGAGAATATCTTTATTGAATGGATCTTTTTCATTTTAGTAAGACAAGCTCCCTATTCTTAACTGATGAGAGCCGAGTAGGGAACTTCACGCCGAACGTAGCTCCAGCGAAGCTTCAGCCTTCAGCGGCATGGAGTGATTTGCGCACGCGACTGGCGGTGCCTTTTGTCTTGAATATTATCTCATCGGGATAAAATTTCACGTTTTTTTTTTATATTTTTTAAAATTTTTTTTTTAATGTTCAGAGTATATATTTCATCGAAAAAAACACACCAAGGAAGCTATTCTAACACGAACAGCCACGATCACGAAATACTAAATGAACCTTTGTTGCTGTGAGTGAGTTTCACCATTCGTGCTCGCTGTGGGAATAACTAATTTTCCCATCAAATCACAAAAGAAGACGTGACCTGTTTCAGCTGACTGAGACCGCTAAATAAACAAGTGAAACTCCCTCTTTTACTAATTCCTCTGCATCATAATCCAGTGGCTCTTGTTGACTAGTTGCCTATTGGTAATCATAAATTTTCGATGATTACCTCAGTAAAAGTTGACAAAGCTGCTAATTTTGGAAAAACCAATTACAGCTTAGCGCCTCTCTGTCTTAGAGAGAAGATTTTACCGTTAGTGCTAATTTACAACAAGCAGAATTAAAGAGCCTTACAGTGCTAAAAAAAAACAGGGTTGTGGTTTGGTTTTTAATTTTCGTTACTGTGTTACTCAATTGAAATTCTAGTGGGAGTTTCAAAGTGTCAAGATTTCAGTATCAAGAATTTTTTAGTTAGAGTAATAAAGATTAACTGCTTTTATCTGACAGATAAATGAATATTATTGTCTGTTATCACTTTCAGCATATTGAATTTTTTATCTGCCTTGCGATAAGCTGAATCTAGCGAATTAGAAAAAAAGTGAGACGACTAAGAAATCGGAAATGAAATGACTTTTTCATGCTACTAGGAAATCGCCTCTCGAATGTTCTAATCGCATTCCCACGACAATGACGTGAATGATACAGGCGACGGCAACATAACTTTTGACCTCTGAGAATTGGATTCTTGGATGTTGCGTGTTTGTAAGACATTCATTCTTTCATTACGGAGGAGGATGGTCATTATTAAAAAACATGTGATGTAAGGATTGGATCACGCGATATACAGATAACACAAAGGTCGTAACAGCGCGAATTAGGTTATTTTTGAAAGACAACAGACTACTTTTTACTCGATTGAAATGGTTCGTTGTCTAAATTGACAAAATTCCAGAATTCCAGCACATAGAGCCCTAAACTTGAATGGAGTTCTACTGCTGTGTATGTTACGTTTATCACACTGTTAAACGGTGGCCCACAAAACGTGAAGATTTCATTTTTTGTTCCTGCTGCAAATTAAAAAATAGTTTGTATCAGACGAATTTTCAAAAGAATATTAATTTTTCTTATCATGAAAAAAGAGAATCTTAAAGTTAAATGAAAAATAAAGTTATTTCATTACAATTTGTTGTAATGCATCGTCTTTCTTTTAAACTATCCGTCTTAAGTTCTTTAAAAAATCAAATTGAACTTTCGTTAAAAATAGGACTGAATACTGTAAAAAAAAAATAGTTTCGGTAAACAATTCCTAGAGGATTAGGTATCCATTTCTAGAATGCCCCCCGAAAAAAGCCAGTTCTTTGTGTAATGAAGGCATTGTTGTTTAGGTGGTATTTGATAAATATGTTGTTTTCGAAAAGTAAACCTCATGCGATGAAAATATGTGTTGTTTGATCCGATCGGATGCAAATGATGAATTCTCGTATTGTTGTCATTTTAAAACCGCAAAATAATGCATGACATAAGGCAACAAGACTGAAAAACCAACTGCGAAGTACTGCGCTACGGAGGATCAAAGTTCTTTAAAGGCGAGTTCCTTTTTGGTCGGATGCATTGAACAAGTTGGAAATGCTGAAAGCATCACCACCTATTGCTTTTTTGCGAATGTTGCAGTGCAATAACTGTCCACGAATGACCTAAAAAAGATGCAACTTTATCAGTGCTTCGGATCATCTGGCTACTATGTAGAATTACTCTACAAAGATATGGATGTTGGCGTCTCTACAGCTAGCACTCTTATGACAATTTTCATTTGTACAAGCCTCCGTGAAGGAATTCAATGAGTAACTAATATACAACTCAGTTTATAAATTATTAAATCGGTTTACATTGCGTCAGCTCAATTAGTCCAGTGAATTAAGCTAATTTACCGAATAAAATGTTAAGTATTATGTAAACAAGGCTTTGCTGAACATTTTGAAATGACATGCAAACTGTGAACAGAGCGTCAGATGAGCCAGAGCGCTAAAGTGCAGGTTGAGGATGAGCGAGCCCTCAGATCATACTTCTAACTCTTCTGTCTGGCTCAAGTTTCTTCTAAGCACAATCATCATGCACGAGATTTTGCAATTTGTTGTCTCAGCACATAGTTCGTGTTTCGTGTTGAGTCGTTTCTTAGTGACAAATTCTTGGGTTTTCACGGTGAAAAAACTTCCGATGCTATTTACCGCTCTGGCGGAAAGATTCAAAAAGCTATTTCCGAATGTGTTTGCGTTAGGATTCCAGCAATATTGATGGTTTTGTTCATCTTCTGACATTGGCACTTGTTACAGAATGTAATTAGAATAATAGAATCAAGACTCCTCAAACCTTTGTTGTTTATGGTTGAGGTTTATTTTCAAAATAAACTGAAGGAAAGTTATGCCTGAGAGCTCAAGATACGGCGAGGTCGATAATAAACAGTTAGGGCAACTCCCCCTCAAAACCCAATCTAGCTGAAGAGAGATCAGTGTTGCATTTAAATTTAATTCATGGAACATGGGAATCACGAAGAGAAAGAACAAATACGACTGTGGCGCAAGGAAATTTCTTCCTAGCAATTTTATCTTAAGAACTGTTATAATTCGGAATTCGTGTCAATGACCAAGTCTTAAGAACTGCTATAATTCGGAATTCGTGTCAAGGACCAAGTGTTCGGCGATCTTCAAAACAACACGTCTCTCCAAGCCTCCAGGGTTTTTTCGCTCTTGGTTCTATCACGCCCTCTTTACTAACTGTTAAAGGCTTAGAGTTAGACAAGATGTTTTCCATCTTTCTCTTGTAGTTGCCAGTTTTCGTGCAAATCCTTCAGCTTCTAGGTAATGCGCAGCTTTTGCTAGCAGTTTTTAGTAACAGAAGTATAAATACGACAAACGTAACGGAACAACAGCTGAGCGGGTGCCAAAGGTTACTGGAGTGATGCTTCAGATATTGACGCTTTTGCGTTAGTGGGGATACTCTTACGAGGATGTCTCGGAATTCTACAATTAAGCTTAAACAACTGTGCGACTTACGCAACAAGATTCCCAAACAAGGAAATCATCTCATGTAATTCGCCTCACAGTCAGGGTGTGGTTTTATACAAACGCTCCTTTAGCTCGATTTGACCTAAGGAACTTTGTCAATAGGTCTCCTGTTTGTTGCACAATGCGACGCATAATGCACTTTTGACGATCTCAGGAGACAAAAGGCAGATTTTGATTGGTTGAAATGCGGCTTAGTACCTAACAACGCAGTCTGTGATTGGTTCTTGGCTGAAGGGTGATCAATCGTTCCCACCATTCCATTAGCACAGAGGTCTAGTGACCGCTAAGTTGATTCTAATGACAGGGGTAGTGTTGAAATACTCTTTCAGTGATGCTCACTTACCCATCGTATAAACATTTCAGCTCCTGAGTTGGAGGGCGCAATATTGGGAACGCTCATTTGTGCAATGATTCAGAAAGAAAGCGTCATATCATGGTTCAAAAGCCTCGATGGAGATGATCGTATCGACCTCATGTGCAATTTATTAGACTGCTGCCTGCCGTGGGAAATTCGATTTTTAGGCACGTTTATTGAAGCCCAGGTCCAGAGAGATTACCCGGCGTTCCGACAACCCGAGAGTACGGCGAACAATCCGTTTGATCTGAGCTGCCTGACATGTTTATACGATGTTCATGTCCGTCGGAGGTTGTGTGTTTCACTAGCGTTGCTGCATTCAAGCAATCGCCAAGCAGCTTCGGTGCTGTTTGGAATTCTGAATGACTTTCAGCCATCGAGTCTGGGAGAAGAGGAATTCTTCACTGAACTCTCACTATTGATCACCATGTCCGCTCACCACCCAGCGTTCTCATTTCATCAAAAACACACCTTGTCTGCAAAATTAAAACAGCTCAAACAATCGGCAAATCATACATCAGATTTAAGCGAGGTAAAATTAACTTTTAATTCAATCTATTTTTATTACAGAATTTTTAACCGTTTTAAAAATATTTTTTACATTGATATTTGTCCACATAAAGGTCACCTTCCATTTGCTACATGTTTTGAAAATCTTTGAGATACCTTCCGGCTCCCCAGATAATTAGCATCGGGCCTTAGCATTATTTTACAATTTACTCCTGAGGTAATAGGTAGATTTTGATTGTTTCCTAATTTTTTGTCGTTAGACTGTCTCCGAAGCAAGCAGTGGTTCTTCGACTTTTTCGTGTGACCAAGATGCTTCAGCAAAGAAGGATGCTCGAGATGATCTTTTGTTCGAAGAAAAACAAAAGAAAGAATCTGTGGAAGAGAAAGCCACCGTAAATGAAATCCTTAAGGTTGAGAGTGCAAATGTCGGCGATTCTTCCCTGACTAAGGATAACACTCTTAAAGGTAATTATTTACTTAGCTGAATTGAAGACGATCTGACGTTTACTAAAAATTTACATCCAAGTTAATCCAATTTATTTCGACGTCTTTCTGTTCTAGTTTTTTTTTTTGTTTATTTCTGATCATAACGACGTAGTGATCATTTGGTGATTTCTCACGTTGATTTTATTTTCTAATCACGATCGTGGCGAAAATCAAAACATATGCAAATTAACAGCCGATAATAGTCTTCTTTTTTAAGTTTGACATGTGACACTTTCTTCCTTCCTCTGTCATTTAACCGTTGAACGGTTTTCAGACAAGAATCGGTTTATTTCAGCTGGTCGGCTCCAGGGGTCGTTCGAGATCTTTCCATTAACTGCCGAAGCTTATTTCTCAGCAAAAAGGTACACAAAGATGCTTTGATAAGCCATATAATTCGATACGTAGAAGCTCGTGTTTTCAAAGAATGGTAAACACGAAGTAAAATTATTCTGTATCCAATAACATTTCAATTCATGAAAGCCGTTTGGTGTCCGTCATTATATTAGCGTTCGGAGGAAGTTGTGTGGAATTCTTCATCCAAAGAACCTTATGAATTCATTGTGAATCATTAAAAAATCTCTCATTTTCCATGACACGTACATTTTTTTGTTTTGGTGCTCTATGTGTCATCTAAATTTTTACCAACTCTTGCATTAATGTTGAAAGAGCTTTTTAGTTTGGGTAAAATCAATCTTTGGTTTTTTACCAATAGAGCACAGCTCATCCCTCTGTGTTTTACCATTGATTATCACTACTTTTAATCATAAAGGAATGTCATGACATTCATTACTACATAATTTTACACTCTCACTTAACCAAAAGTAACGTATCTTTTGCCACTAAGCTGAAGTTAATGATGCCCTTGTTCAAGGATTCAAACAGCAGGAAGTCTGTAGGGGAGTCTATTTTGTAACACATGTTAGTCAGCTTTCTACTGAGTGAGTACGCTACAGATTATTTTTAACTGAAATTGACACTAACCGTATGATGTCATGATGTTTCCGTCACGGACTCTCATATGGTTTCAAACATTCCCTGCACAACCTTTTGGTGACATAAAATCACATGGTATTACTGGGTTAGATATAGAGAACTTTGTGAATGGATGTTGCAAAGGAAAGATGAATCAGTATAGTTTTTTGGTGAAGCAGAAATCTGCAATGATATTTAGTACAGAAGTCTTGTCTGGGATATGATCAAGGTATGACGATTGCCATATGACAACTGCGGTTGTTTTCATTAATAACATGTCACCTTTGATTTCATTTTGTTGAAAATAATCAGACTTATATGGATGTCCCAGAGCCAGAGATTAACCAGTGTAGTTATAAAGTTCTTAAAAATATTTCTTAACTTATCCATTGAATCATACAGGACTGTTGTCAAGCTTCTGTAGAAAGTTGTCATCAAACAGTGGATTTCATAATTTGCATCCTGTAAAAAGATAAAGCAGAAACACTGTTGGTACAGAACTTGAAATTAGGAAATTCATGATGGATAGTTTCTGTCAAAGCTATTATTATTGTCATTTGATGGGCCCCATTTTTTTTTTCACAGTCATATTAGTGTGATGAATGTAAATATAATTTTCATGTTATTTTATTCTTAACAATGTTTGATCAGAGGTTGCAGTGTCCTAGCGTATATTGTGAAAACATTTTTGTATGAGAGATTTTCTTAAGATGTCAAAAAGAAATGCCGGGTGTGTGGTCTACGTTATCTAACACCTGTCTTTCAGTAATAACTTACTTGATCTTTAGTTTGATAGCAATGGAGTGCTTGGAAGAAAAACAAAGAACTTAATAACAAGTAGATAAATGGCTAATGAAATACGAGGCCAATTTATTTGAAATGTCTTGATGTTGACAGATGGAATTCCTACTGGGAGAGAATAACAATTGACTAGTCAAAAATCAACAGTTCATTTAAAAATTATCATTTGAATTAGTTACTTGTTTCCACTATTTTCCTGTGAAGGGAAAAATTCTTTTGAATATTATTCAAAATACAATAATTCCATCACTTTTGCAAACTCTTTGTATTTGAAACAGTTGTCCATCCAAAATAAAGAAAGAATGCATGGGAACCATCTTAGTGGAACACAAGGAACCATTCTGACAAAAATTATACTTAGGTAGTCCAATTTTTATGCAGGATTTTCCTTTATTACAAAATATTTCTTGTTGTTATCATCAACACAATTTGTTTAGGTACTTGTTGAATTACTGTCGAGGCTTTATTTCAGAAAATATTTCCTTTTAATGAATTAATTCCCTTAGCAAACATGATTTCAGTGTTGTTGTTTTCTTTCTCAGAACTTCCAGTCTTTGTGAAAGAGATTAAAGTGCAAGGTGTGCAAGCTGTGGAGAAAAAGAGGGAAAAAAGATCAAAACATGATCCAAGAAAGCGTGACGATCATTGTTATGTCTTACAGGTAATTAATGACAAAAGTTGTAGATATAGGGTTTTGTTAAAAAAGAAGGTTCAACAATCAATAATTACTTAGACACTAGTAGTGTACAGATTTCAGCTGAGATGTGAAGCTGTGTAACTTCTTATAAGAAAAATTATAGAAGAACTTATTTAAGTAATCATTGGATTATACATTAGAAACCTCTTTTGATGTGTTGTTGATTAATATTCTACTTTAATTGTGCAATAAAGATGTCATTGAATTGAAAGAAATCTATAAATGTAATCATAGGAAGATGGAAAAATGCTAAAGGGGACTAAGTATAAATGGGTTGAGAAGATTAACCTCTTCATGACAGAGACACTTAACCCTTTACACCCTAAAATCAATATACATATTCTCCATACTGCTCTTTATACATATCCTAAGGTGCTGACAAGGAGAATTTGTTTACCAATCAAAAGCTTCTTTTGTTGGTGATCATTTCCTTTATTCTCATAACCTTAACATGTGATTCAGGGGTGGTACTGTAGGGAGAAATTTGATACTAGTCACTCTTGGAGTCACTCTTTTATTCTCATAACCTTAACATGTGATTCAGGGGTGGTACTGTAGGGAGAAATTTGATACTAGTCACTCTTGGGGTCACTCTTTTATTCTCATAACCTTAACATGTGATTCAGGGGTGGTACTGTAGGGAGAAATTTGATACTAGTCACTCTTGGGGTCACTCTTTTATTCTCATAACCTTAACATGTGATTCAGGGGTGGTACTGTAGGGAGAAATTTGATACTAGTCACTCTTGGGGTCACTCTTTTATTCTCATAACCTTAACATGTGATTTAGGGGTGGTACTGTGGGGAGAAATTTGATACTAGTCACTCTTGGGGTCACTCTTATTCTCATAACCTTAACATGTGATTTAGGGGTGGTACTGTAGGGAGAAATTTGATACTAGTCACTCTTGGGGTCACTCTTTTATTCTCATAACCTTAACATGTGATTCAGGGGTGGTACTGTTGGGAGAAATTTGATACTAGTCACTCTTGGGGTCACTCTTTTATTCTCATAACCTTAACATGTGATTCAGGGGTGGTACTGTAGGGAGAAATTTGATACTAGTCACTCTTGGGGTCATTCTTTTATTCTCATAACCTTAACATGTGATTCAGGGGTGGTACTGTAGGGAGAAATTTGATACTAGTCACTCTTGGGGTTTAAAAGGTTCCAAGAGAGGATTTAAGGTCTACTTGTTTTCAAGATGAACTAACTGTGAAGACCATTGAAACTAATATCTATTGACTTTTATTAACACTGAAAGTAATTGCATGACATTGCCCAAACATATTTAAAAGGTAATAGGTGACAACTTGATGCAGAGTCAATCCATTTAAAATGTACAATTTTTAAAAATGGTATTAGAGTTGAAAATGGCATGACAAAAACCAATTAGCTTTTGAAAAGTTTTATTTCTTAATCATATTGGCTGATATTTTTTTGTAAATATTTGTTCAATGATATACTGTAGTTAGTACCAGGGCAGTCTCAGCATACAAAGGGTCTTCTAATAACTTTGTCCTTCGTAGGTTTCTTGGTCAGACAATACAACAGAAACTATACACAGGACATATGAGGAGATGTTTGACTTCCAGTGCAAGGTACAGATATATGATGAAATCCCTTACAGACACATGACATAGAGCCAGGACAATTGCACTTGTTGAGCTAAAATCTTCCATGCCAAGGGTCTCTTCATTTAGGCTTGACAACCCAATTGACTTGGAAATTTTTATAAGCTTATTTTACCGCTATGAATCTTGGGAATTCCATGTCGATTGTGGTGGGATCTCCAATCTCAGAATTTATATAGGGAAAAAGTAGAGCTAAGGCAGCATTAGTAATCTCAGTTACAAAAATGTGGGTTTTGTTTACTGAGGCAGCCCTTTGTGAGAGGGGGAACAGTTTTTAGTCAACTTCCACATTTATCTTGTGGTTTAAATTTTTTTCACGGTGTGAAATTTTTTGAAAGCTGTCATTGTTTCCTAATTGTCATAGTGCAAAAAAGTAATTTTAGAAAATTTATGTTCAATTGATTTTTAAAATATTTAAACCAAGAGAGAAAGCAAGTCACACATATTTACAGCAGATTGATTTCAGACTAACATTACATTGTGGTCCAGATTGTTGAAATATTTTCCCCTTTGCCCACTCAAAGTTGGTAATAGGAAAATTGGACCACTTGAAAGAATTATTCAAACCTTGAGAGGGTGCAATTTGTTTAAGAAACTTTGTCCAGGGTTGTCATCAGAGTGAAGTGGTGTTACTTTTGGCTGTCAACAACAGGGCATTTATAGGTCACATTTTGAAGATAAACATGAACACATGCCCTCAAGGCTCACGAAACTACTGGTCACTGTTACTTTTTTACCATATTTTATAATTCTCTAGTAAATTGTTGTCATGTGAAGAAAAATTGACATTTTACATAATGCTGACCAAGTTTTCCCTGGAAACCCGAAAAATGAATAATTCTCTGACAGAATGTGACAACCTTTAGAAGAAAAATGTTTTGAGGAATGTGTGTCTGCACTCTGTCATCTTTGCTTGAAATTTGAGATCATTTTACTGTTGCTAAAACATGCAATATAATAAAACAGACATGTTACTTTCTTTACATGATTACTTTCCTTGTCAGTGGTAAACCATTTGTGAATTTCAGGTTTGAAAAAGAAACTTTGAACATATGAACAATTCTGCACCACTATTATTATGACATGTAGCCTTTGTACTTCCTCTTCATCTTATGTTAGTATCACTGCCCAGGAGATTTCACACATTTATACCTTAAAGAAGTTCCTTGCAGAATTTTGTACCTTTTCAAAATATGGTGCCAGGGTAGTGAACAAAAAACAATTGGTGCACAAAGTCTATTACTCAAAGAACCACGTAGCAACCTAATTTTAGGGATATTGGCATTAACAAGCAGACACTTTTCATTAACCCTTTAACTCCTAAGATCTCATTAATAATTCTCCTGACTGTCTGCGATACAGTTCTTGTGATGTTAGTTTAGAGAAATTGGTATTGGATCAACTTATAATCCCCCAATTGATATTTTTCTCTATTCTCGTCACTTTTCTGCTTGATATTGTATTGATATTGTAAGGAGAAATTCTGTTTTGGTCACTCATGGGAGTTAAAGGGTTAATATGTTTTGATAGGCTCATCTTGGTTTGACATACCAAAAAAAATCCCCATATTTGATTGTGTATTTCTGTTTTGAAATCCCAAGCTGCGCAAAATGTATCCAAATAAAGTTGATGCAAGTGGCAATCCTTGGAAGCTCCCTTTTTTACCTGGTGAGAGTTTTTTTATTAAGTTATTAAATTTTCAAAAGAGTATGAGAGTGTAATTGATAAGTGTTATTTCATTACTTTAAATATGCATGAATATATAGCAGATGTCTGATGTTTGGAAACAATCATTGTTGCAATTCTGCCAACATGCTGGGCACAAAAATGCAAGTAGTACATGTGTTGATGTGTTCATTAAGTTTTTATGAGATGAACAGGAATCATGCAGTGACCAGAGCATTTACCTACAACTGCTGTGGTCTTGTCAGTTCAGTTCTCAAACATGGCATCACATCATGATACTCATCATCCTCACTTTCTTGCTCCTTTTACTTTATCATTGATTGAAATTTTTTGTAGGAAGAATCAGAATGTTTAACAAGCCAGAACCTAAAGGGGAAAAACTGCCCATCCCTGATATTTCAGAATATACCAGGTTTGGTCTAGTTTTTTATCTTTAATAATATATATATAACCACTAATATTCTGAGTTATCAACTGTGACAGAAAAAGCCTGATTCACCCATTAAAATCACACACAAAAAATTTTCAGAACAAAAAGAAATTAAGCAAAAAAAAAGAAACAGAATTTTGATGAAAGTGTTGCACAAGAAAAATAAAAAAAGAACTTGATGAAAAACAATTGGAAAGAAGAAATACAAATTTATAATGAATGATGTCAATATGATTTTTGGCAGCAACAATAGTTAGTCTCAACTTATAGAGAACATTGATTCTTTTCATCCTTTAGGTTGTTTAGCAGTCTTCCTGAGTTTGTTCGAGGTTGTGATCATGTAGTAAAATTTTTCCAAAGTGAAAAAAGAATCAGGAGAAAATCAGACAACAAAAAGAACAAGAGTGTAGCAAAAACAGAAGAACAATCCAACTGTAAAAACAAGCAAAATGAGTTTGAATCACCTCATAAAATAGCTGAAGCTGTGCGGGAACAGTCACTTGGTAGAAAAGATAAAGTCAAGAGTGCAGATGTCACAAGCACAAAAATAAAGAAAAAAACAAATAGCGAGTCTTCTGCAGAGAATGTTTCCAAGAACAATGATACTTGTATTGTGGGGAGAGAATCACTTGTTGACATTGATGAAAATGGAAATGAGGTTAAATCCATCCTTTGTGGTAAGTTGTGGAGGCCTGATTTTTTAATATGTGACTGTCACAACACTACAACATTATTGGACCAAAGCTCTTTATTATTTAAACATATACCTCAACTGGTGCTTGTTGTAAGCCTTACTCTTAGTTAAAAAGTTATGTAATCAAAATTCATGTGTGAAAGGACTAATTATCATGAGAGTTTTATTAACTCTTTACACCCTTACATCAGTATTCATATTCTCCATACTGATATCTGTACATTTACTAAGGTGCTGACGAGGAGAATTTGTCTAACAATCAAGAGTTTCTTTAGTTGTGATCATTTCCTTTATTCTCATGACATTAATGTGTGATTCAGGAGTGATATTGTAAGGAGAAATCAGATGCTAATCACTCTCAGGGGTTATGAGGGGTTAAGATAAAATAGTGCATTGTCATGCGTTTAACTTTGATTGGTGATGCAGTGGTGAACAATTTCAGAAACCTCAAAGGAAAAGGAGGAAAGTGAAAAATCTGTTTCCAGTGACCAACATCACAAAAATGGAATTATTAACATGGTGCCAATACAAACATTGTTGCCTTCATCATCATCCTTGTCAACATCAGGTAACAATTTTAATTTTCCTCTCTCTGTTTCAAAGGTAAATAACTATTACACAATCCATATGGTCTCATTTGAATCATTCCACGATACTCGTGAAAATGTTTATCAGATACAAGTAACCAAAATGATTGTCACAGGTGACTTAAAATTACAAAAATCCAGGCTTACTCCAATTAATTATTTTATTTAAATCCCAGATACTTTTTAGTCATTACCATCAGCTGAGATATGAATCAAGCCACATCTGTGGTGGGAAGAAAATTGAAGAGGGTTATTTCTCCTGCAAAGGAATGAAGTGGTGGTTATGATCTAATGAGAACAGTGTTGGGCTTGAAAATGTGGGGCATGGGATCTAGCTGGTGAAGTGTCAGGGAAACTGAATGGATTTTAGGGTTCAATTGACTGTGAGGATACTTTTTTTTTTAATGTTCAGATTCATTAATGATATGTCATTATTGCTGATCCAGTTAACAACATCCAAGTTTACCTAAAGTGATGGTGTTTTCTTTATTCTCTTTGTTTAGGATCTCTTTTGACATCTACACAGGTATCTCTGCCTGTAAAACAGCCATTTCATTCTGCTGTTCAGCCAAGTAACAGTATGTTACACATGTTAAATACTAATGGTTATTCACTGCCTCCATCCTTAACATCGCTGCAAATAACTCTACCATCTTCACCCATTGCATCTTATCCTTCACCTTCTCCATCTCCAATCACTTCACCTGTCATGTCTCCTGCCAACTCACCATCACTTTCACAACGATCTTGTTCTGGAAACATAAACTGGACTTTGAGGCAACACAGCCGGGGTGTGAATGTTTGTGATTGGCTCAGGAATTTGAGACTTCACAAATACTCGGAAGTGTTTAAAGGAAAGACCTTTAATGAGGTGAATTGTAGCTTAAATTGTTTTGAAAAGTTTCAAGTATTTCACTACATTGATATTTTCATAACAAAATTTTAGGCAGGGCCAAACATTTTATGCTTACTAACTGAAAAAATTGTTGTCGAAGTAATTAATATGGTGTTTAGCTGACACTATGTTCCTTTTGTAGATGTTGCAATTTTCTGATAAAGATTTTGAAAAACTTGGCTTAACAGCAGGAGCAAGAAAGAAGCTTCAAATGAACCTGGAAGTTCTTCGGTATGTCTCATCAAAGTTTATTAATTAGTAAAACTTTTGTTAGTAATTGATGTAAAATTGTGCAGGTTCACACAGCTGTGCAGCCCTTGATTATTTAAAATTAGTGCTGGGCTTAGTTTTTCCAGTTAATGACTGTGAAGGAGTCCATTTAAAAATCTGACAATCTTTTGTCCCTTCAATCATCTGACTCGTGCATTCTTTCCAGCAGTTGCCATAATTATTTGATTGTGTATCAATCAACAAGATAATTTCCTGTCTTATTCAAGATAAAATCCTCTTATTGATGAGTTTTCCCATTCCCTTTGGCATTTTCCTGAATAATGTACTGAAGATGCAAGGATATAAAAGGCTTGTGTTAGTCAGTTCTGCAGGGTAATAGGTTTTTAAGAAAATAGAACATAGAAGTGCATTACATTTGTATTTTTAATTAATACTTTGAAATAAGATTTACACAGTGCCTGTAGTGAGTGGTTGTTTTTTTGGCACAGGACAAGAGGTTGCTTCACATCAAATGGTTTAACATTGGTAGACATTCTTCCTTCACCTTCAAGCTTTCCAGTGAACCTAGCTCAAAGTTACGGTTCAGACTGTGAGTTCCTACGAAGCGTCAGTGAAAGTGACAGTGCCAGTGACTGTGGAAGTGACATATTATCTGAACCCGCAACCCAGGTTTGTGAATTTTGTTCAGTTTTGTCACAGGTGGCCCAGTTTAAGTATTTGTATATGACAAGTTGATTTTGCAATTCACATTTTTTTAAACCAAAATGAAGCATACATGTATATGTCTTCAGTTAACTGTCTTATGCTTGAGAAATTTGGAAATTTTTACAGGTTGATAAAAATAATAGTTATAATAATAACAACTTTATTTAAGGGTAATACACAACAGTAATTCAACTGATGAAGTACCATAATTAGAATTAAAATGTAGTCAAGGGTTATAAAGCTGGTCAACAGGTCTCTATAAAGAATATATAAGCTAAAAACTAGATAAAATAAAATATGCTGCTTGAGTCAGGTTAAATTGCATTTGGACTGAAATGTTCTACTTCATCATAGCTTGCTAGAAAATGTCGGTGAAAGGCCTTTCTGAAAGAAGCAATTATTGTTGTCACCTTTTTTTTAGGTTAATGGATAGTTGGTTCCACAGCCTTGTTGTAGATATGCTAAAGGTCCTCCCTCAGTTTTGCGATTTAAATGAGGGCAGGCGAGATTTAATTTACTATATGTAGTAAGGTTGGGGGGGAGGGGGGACAAAACAATTCCTCCTGCAATTCCCTGTTACACCTGTTTCAAAATTTTAACAGGTAAGTTAAGAATTGCTGTTTTTTTCTATCTCGGCAAAATAGGCAAGTTTTCTTTCTAGTTGTGTACTTTGATGGTGTAAAAGAATTGTCAGTCCCTTTCTGTGAATAAATGAGGTAAATTTTGTTTCCTATTCTCCCAGACGTGCTCAAGTATTTATCCAAGGAAATTTCCAGCCTTAAATGGATTCCATGTGTCATGCTACAACTGTGGAAGTCTTGGCCATATTGGTGGCCAGTGTATGGCTCCAAACCTGGATAAAAGAATTCCCTCAAGTTATGGTATGTTTTTTTTTACTCCCTGATTAACAGCCTAGAGATCAGCTTATGAGTTCTCATGTAATTTAAATAACTCAGTCACTTTTGTACATTTGCTGCCATAAGTCTTAATTCCTTAGATATTACTGAATAAAGATGGCCATTGATTTGCTGATTCTCATAGTGGCTCTTTGAATACATTTTATATACACACTTTTATTATACTTTATAGAATAAATAGTGTGTGTATATAGGAAAAAAATAGCTCTTTTACAATCATGCAAGTTTATATCTGGTTTTAAACAGCACCACAGTCTATACCAGTATTTGCTAATTCTTTGAGCTCTTTCTAACAATCCCCCTCTTCTCCAACAACTGTCAACAACATCAGATAAGTTTGTGTCATATGAAGGTAACATTTGAAAGGGATGAGTTTATGGGTTCTGATCATATGTTTGAAGGATGCTGTAATAATAATGTTAGCGCTGACATGTTTTAGAAGACACAGGATTGTGCTCTTGCAGTACCCAGGTGCCACAGGTCACTGACTTTTTGTTTGAGGGGAACCTGTGAAGTGTAGCTTTGATAAAAGCTTTAAAGAGCTGGTTATTTCACATTAGTATGACAAGAGCCAGTGATTCTTCTAAGTACACAGCTATGGAAGAGAAACATACTGTGCAATCCATATTCTTCAGTAGGCTATTTGCTACCTTGACAAGTCAGCTTGTTTGTTATGTTTGCAGGTATCCATTCAAGGTATGATGCACAACTAGAATGTTGATGACAGTTCAAACAAACAAACAAAGGCATTCAATCATTCTTACACTCAAACAAGAAGTTTTATCATCAAACAAGAAGAAATAAAGTTCATCAGAGGAGGAGGAGGTCATCAAAGGGCAAAGACACAACTTGTGATTACATAATGTATATGTCATCTTCAGTGTACTTAACTTTTGGAGCTAAAATACTTGGATTGTTTGGTGAGACAAGGAAGGAAGAAACTATCATGGGCACAGAGGTTGAGCATTTAGGGTGAAAAAGAAGCGTAAACATTTCCTATGAAGAACCTGGAAAACAGTAGAAAAAGATGGGAGTGTGCATAGTCCTTAATCTTTGGCACGACATCAGTGGTGACAGGAGTTACTCTCCCTTAATAATCCAATACGGCTAATGTATAATTGGTCAAAACAGGCTGCAATGCAGTTTTATAGTCAAGAAAAAAAGACAAAAACGAGTAAAACACACACACATAGCAGGACTGTTCAGTCAATGTTAATAGCTGTGCACCTTTAACTACCATCAAATTGCTGTGGACTGCAACTTAATATTTAGCTGTGACATTCATTTAGAAACTGAATTAAGGGTTACTGTAAACCATATGGTGAGAAGAGCAATCACTAAAATTGCAATAAATAGTTTTGTCATATTGATACTAGATGAAACAAAGCAGAGAGGTACTAATTTATTTTTCAAAGGAGAATTAACTATTGACAATTCTTGCTCTGCAAGTGCGACATAACATAGAGATTTCAAAAAGTGAAAATGAATATTAAGTTCAAATAGATCAAAAGTTATTTTCTTATGCTAGAGAGTTGTCACAATTAATTATTATTTTCTAGAAGTACTTTTAAGACATTGAAAAGGGGTAGAAGCATGAATTATTGCTCAGCTCTGTTAGCGCCATGCAGAGAAGAGGTCTAACAGTAAAGTCCTAATACAGCTGACAATCTTGTTAGTTCAATACCTAATATGTACCAGCTAGGAATCTAATGTCTCAGTGTAGCAAATTTACATATTTTCTGAACATTCAAAGAAAGTAATATATTTTCTAACAAAAAATGTTTGCTTCATTCTTTGTTTGAATGCACTGTACACACACACTTGACAGACCATCGTTGTTCCACAGAAACAGTTTGAAAGTTATGAAAAGTTGTCCGTACCCACAGAAATTCCTCTTCAGTTTACCCTGTACACCATAAAACCAGTATCCATATTCTCTACATGTACACTTCCTTTGGTGCTGACAAGGAGAATTCATTCAACAATCAAAGCTTCTTAGGATGGAAATCATTTTTATAGTTACTCTTATGATCTTAAAAAATGATTCAGCAGTATTTCTGTAAGGAGATTTAACCCTTTAACTCCCATGAGTGACCAAAACAGAATTTCTCCTTACAATATCAATACAATATCAACCAGATAAGTGATGAGAAGAAAGAAAAATATCAATTTGGGGATAATTGGTTGATCCAATACTAAATTCTCTGAACTAACATCATAAAAATTGTATGGTTGACAGTAAGGAGAAGTACAAATTTGATCTGGGAGTTAAAGGGTTCAGATACTGGTCACTCTAAGGGGTTTCAGGGGTTTAAATCTGACAGAGCCATAATCAAACTCCAGAGGTCAGTTTTGATCAAACATGATTATTTTTTTTTAAATGGTACTTATTAAGGAATTAAACCCTAAGTAAAATGCTCAGGAAAACTAAATCCATGCCAAGCTTTTTACATGACTCTGTTTTCATGGCACTACTATCAGTCATTGTTTTTGTATTGCTTGAGAATGCTTTTCACTTTAAAAACTGTCAGTGGTATATTTGCTTGGCGACTTTTTCCTGCATTGCTGTTTTCTTCACAACTGGCCATCCAGTGTTGGTAGTTGGAGTTTTAAATCAACATATTTATTGAGATTGTTTAAAGTGCAACTCTTCAAAATAGATTTCCATCTGGATGGACTGGTGAACCAAACATCAAGCGCCAGGATGCTGGAAAATTGAAGTCACCTGCAAAATATATATCCTGATTATTTTCCTATGCAATATTTATCAACAACTTGTGTGGACTAATCTGTAATGCTTTCACCATCCTCAGTTCTGAATGTTACCTATTAAAATTATTTGTCACCAGTACAAAACGTTCCAACCAGTTTGATTTTCATTTTCTTTCAATTAGGTGTGATAATGTTTGACGAAATTGTGCTCATTACCATTATTATCAATGGTGACCAGAAGTCAAAAGTGGGCCACTGAGGTAGCAGTCTCAGACAGCTGCTCCAGCCTCGTTAGGCAAGATCAGCATAGTAAACTTACAGGGTATAGGATGGCTCATGGTCTAGTTCCCACATGAGAGGATGGATTGAGACCAGCAATGACACAGCTGTATACCTACAGCCATCTTATGCAATCAACAGAGGTGTGACATCTCTGGCAAAGTTCAGGATTGCCTGAGAGTTTACAGATACAACAAATGCAAGTATATGGGGTGAGTTGAGCTTGCCAGAGGTGACAGTCAATGATTGGACATAAAATATATAATATTAATAACATGTCCCCAATACTCACTTGGTTTTCCTAGAATCCTGTCTTCAACCTGAAAAAGAATGCACAGTAAGCTTCAGTAAGCCACTATTAAACTACAGGGGTGTACCAGATATCAAAAGTTAATGATTTATCTGAATTTCCCAGTTGTTATAAGATTGGTTGGCATGAATCTTGTGGATAAATCACGATCAACTAAAGGGATGTTTTCTCAAAAAAAATGCTGTTAACTTTAGAATTAATCTCTCACCTTTTCTTTGGGAACCATCTTGAGCCAGGCATTAAGATAAAGAAAGAGATTTACTGCATCTGATATATTATCCCCTTCTGAACAAAATGTTAATACCACAGTCAGAGGGATGTCATCTCTGCAACTAAAAACAAAAACAAAATGGATTTGACAACAATGCATTGATTTCCCTCATTTTTGTCAGACAGTTGAAATGCACCTCAATTAAAAAAAAATGAATTCATCACCTTTTTCCAAGATAAAAGATGATATTCTATACCATAGCATGTAACTAAACTGCAATTATTTCCCATTTTCAAACTGTAAAAAAAACTTCAGGGTAAATAAACATTACCAAGCCTCATAAAGCTTCTTTGTGAATCCTCCTCCAGGGAAAAAGAAAGTTTTGTCTTCATCTGATGATTCTGGGAAAGAAAGAGGAAAACTCATGAAATATCACTACTTAAAGTATCCTTAACACTTCCATTACTGAATGCTCACATAATGAAACTTTAAAGTTAAGAATTCTTCAAAATGGTGTTGTGAATAACCAAGGTGAGAGCTTGTTATTTAGAAGGTTCAGTGTGGTGCTTTATACTGCCTATGATGTTGTGGGTTTCACTGTGCTATTGGTTAACATGATGTCAATTCTGCAGTCAAGTAAAATGGATTGCCTCTTCCACAAGGTTGAGGTAGAAGGTGCAAACACTCCCCCCCCCCCCATTAAACCATGACAAGTAAGTGAGCAGAAGTTTAGTACACCTGAAAAATCTTTCAAAACACATTTTTGCCATAACTGTGTTTAGGAAGGTACAGAAGAGGCAGCTCAATGAAAATTAACCTAAATCCAGAAATAGAGATAGAAACAAAAAAAACACTCAAATTTGTCACCCACCTTCAGTGTTAACATGAGGAAACTTTGGTCTCTTTTCCAATGACTTCCATGACAATTCATCAAATACTGGAAGGAGGTTTTTCACTGCAGGTGTTACAAGGTATCTCAATGGAGAACTGGAAAAAAAACCAAAAAAAAAAAAACAGAGTACACTGTAACAGCAAAAATTTTAGCTTTCTACTTTCTTCTTACTCTCTTCAAATCTTTCTTTGTTGCTTATTTTAGCTTCCAATTGCAATTTAACTTTTCTTGAATTTACAAAAAACAGGAAGCTCTGAGAATTGGCAAAACACTTATCTTTCTAAAGTTTACCCTGTCAAATACCATATTTGTTGGCAATGATGGCTAAAAACAAAAATTTTTACAAAGTGTTTACTCAGCCAGCTTACTAGAGCACCTTTCAGTTGAGTGATGAAAGTAGGTGTCATCTGAACTCAAATTAATTTAATTTGCTTTTCTTCACATGGGCCATCTTCATTAGTTAAATTGTAATTTAATCAATGCATTGTCAATGACAACAGCAACCATTTTTCAAAAATCTTTGAGATGTCTTGAGTGACTTAGATGAAGTACAGTATAAGTTGTATATGTTATGACATCTTAAGAAGGAATGTTGCTTAATTCTCTTTCTATACACATTATGATATGATTGCTATAAATCTAATCACATGGTAAAAAAAAATAAAAGAATAATTGATTAAAAAATGGAACTAGTCTGACAGGTGAATTTCTTACCCTTCAATCTGTGCATCAACTCTTTCTGTAGCACTAATACTGGAAACAAGAATGACTTGTTTGAAGTTGCAACTTTTAATCCATGTAACAAGTTTCTTGCAGTACTCAGTTTGACGACCCTGAAATAAATGGTAATATCATTCTACAGTTACTGGTATGCAACAAATTGATACTCTGATATGTGAAGAATGCGTTCTTTAACAGAGCTCAAGCACTTAAAACATTGATGATAAGATTCCTTGATAGCAAGCAACATGTGGACTGAAATTAAGTGATAAATTATGGCATAAGATGGCATTTCTTGTAGTCTTTTTTATAATACACCTATTCTGTAAAACCTGATCAAGTGCTCAACCTATATTAGGCAGTCACCACACCATTCCCCAAAGGTGTCTGCCTGATACAGGTTCAACTATAATTCTGAAAATCATATATACACTAACATTATTAAGTAAATAAATCAAGACAAATTTTTGTCATATCTTAAAATTTTACTCTTTCAATTGGTTTGTTGAATGTGAAATTATTCACAACAAACATGATTGTACTTTGCATACATTTTAAATGTATGTTTTCTAAGCACATCAAGCATCTGGTAACAATTCAAACTTAAGGAAAGATAATCATTGTATACAGTTGTCTCCGTAATACTCAAATATTTACCTTAACTAGTGGAGCTCTCTGTTGAACTACAATAAACTTCAGATCATCATTTTTGTACACTGCCAAAGAAATAAAACATATGTCACCCAAAGCTTTCATGTGGTTATATGGAACACTCCATGAGGAGCTTTATAAGGCACCTTTTTCACATTCTTTCACAGACATTTCTGGTTTCATACCAACAATCCCTGACACAGCAATTAGTCATCTACACAAGAACCTTCCCTTTAACAAAGGATGCCCTAAAGGTATTTTTTTCAAATGTTATCTAAAGTTCATGAGTAATAAAATGTAAACTCTAGTTCAAGCAAACAATCAAACTGGTAATAAAAATTCATTTTACACATACCACCAAGTTTTTGATAACTAATTTACAAAGATTGTTCAGCATGTACAAAGGAGAATAAATAAATAAATAAGATTGTGGAATATCAAAGGTAAAGGGAAAGTTGATCGTACAAACCTTCAACACTGACATTTAGTTTTCCAGGAGCTTCTGTTGACAAAGTAAAGGCATCATTCCCCACTACAGGCAAGACACACGAATCATACAGATATCCAATGGGGGAACCATCTGGACAAACAGTAGAAACTACCAGATCCACTGCTAACTGGCCCACATTTCCTATTGAAACCGCTGGCTTTGAGAATCAAACAGAAATAAAATGAAAAAGATAGTAAGTTTTTACTTTGGTAATGACCTGAAGACGTTTTTTCGTCTTGTTGAAAATGAAAATGTTTTTCAAACCCCAAGGCACATTATTAACTTTATTTTAGTGTGTCTTATCCTTTTATGACTCAAAACGCATAACATAATAGATAATTTCTAACACAACGTATTTGCTTTTCTATAGCATTTCACCAATAAAAACAAGTATTTTAAAATAGTTCCGTATCGAAAATTTAATGTGTACAACCACCTCTGAATCCTACTGTGGTACAGATTTGTTTTTGAAGCGTTTCTCTGATGTAGAAGTACGTAGTCAGGTACTCACCAATATTAAGGTAAATTCTTCCCAGTTTCCATCAACATTATTCTCCCTAGGAATAAACATCTCGTCGTAACTTCAGTTCATATGAACTAGCACTTTTCAGACGCTCCACGTGGGTTAACCAGCGTTCTGCCGACTCATTCCAAGCAAAGTATACTTATAGCCTTTTCGATCAGGCGTTCCATTTGTGAAAAGAAGCCTGGGCTGAGTAAAAGCGTGGTTACGAAGCTATTTCAACATGGCGGATTTTTAGTGAAACTTGGAGATTTGCAAACTCTTACAAATTTAGTCTGTTTAAAATGGCAGAATTCCCTGACTTTGGAAAGCAGTGTGATGTTGAGATTTGTAAGCAACTTGGTAAGTTATTTCCCTGAACTCTATGTGTACTTTCTTTTACAAGCTGCTAAACTTTTTCAAAGCGAGCAGAATTTTCTTATTTTTTTACGTAGATTTTCTTCCATTTATTTGTAATGGATGCTCTGGTACCTTTTGGTAAGTATCATTCTTCTGCTTATCCTATTTAATCTAATACCTACGCAAACAATTTTGGAAACCAACGCTTCTCGTGAACAATCACGGCATTGGAAAAATGTGCTGTACTAAAAATATTAATTATAGCAACGTTTAGTTAAATAAATACAATGAATTACATGGTGTGTTCATCAGTGCTGGAGTAATTCTTATGTTTAGCGTCAACTGAGATAGTGTTTTATTGCATTGAAAGGTTTAAGGTAAAAAATTACCGTACTTTTTTTCATTCAAAAGTAATTTATGTTTATAAAGTGTATTAAACGTAGCACACATTTTTATAGTCCTGTTTGAAGGGTTAAGTTAAGATTTCAGTATTATCTGTAATAAACCTTCCACTTTTTGCTATCAGATCTAAGATTTGATTTTGATATTTGATACAAATAGAAACTGATACAGGTTTTTTTTTTCACAGTTTAGAACATCGCTCAAAGTCATCACACAACTGCACTGTTGATGATCAAAAATTTAAGGTTCAAAAACATGTATATAGTTTGATGTGTATATAACCTGTACATATTGAAGGATGGATTTGAGAAAAACTATTGATTATTAATGAAAAATAATCATGAAAACATTGAACCCTTTAACTCCCATGAGTGATCAAGAGAGAATGTCTCTTTACAGTGTCAATGCAATATAAAGCAGACAAGTGATGAGAGTAAAGAAGAATAAAGATCAGGAGATTTTTAGTTGATACAATAACAAATTCTCCAAATTAACATTATAAGAATTGTGTGGCAGATACTAAGAAGAATATCTCATTAGATTGTGGGAGTGAAAGGGTTAACTGATCTCAGCACCGTGATTTTTTTCTGCATTGTTGTTGTTAGGGTACCTTACTTTATTTTAGACATGGCAGCAGTCATCAAGTGTAGGCGAGGTCAATAATTGTCATGTTTAACAGCTGTGGTTTAAAGTGTTATCGATATATGAAAGGAAGATTTAATTTCCATTTGTTACAGGGAGATCCATCAAAGACTTCAGTTTCAAATGGTTTCTTAGAGTGTTCACTGAATGAGTGCAACAGTAGAGAGTTGGTTCCAGTGTTATGTGAACATTGTCACAAAAACTACTGCCTCAGGTGAATTTACAAAGTTTCATGTATCAGTCAATAATGACAAAAAAAGTAACAAACTTTGAATTCATGCAGGAAATAACTGAAATAATAATTAATTTTGAAAAATGATGTATATTTTAAAGAGACAACTTCAAGAAGAATTGCAGACATGTATATGTCCAGATGTACAAACAAAATTAGTAATACATCCTCCACAAGCTTGATCAAATCTCTCCTTCACACCTTAAGGCCTCTTTCATTATTTTTCCAAAGGGATAAACTCTGGTGTTTACCATTTTGTACTCAAGCTATTACAGGCATTTTGTAACAAGAAGCTCAAAGTTTATGAATAATTTATTTGAATCTTCATGCAAAGCAGAGCAGTAAACTTGCCAGTCTTGATTTTTCACCTCAATAGACCTTCAAATTTTGGTGAAAAACCAAGATGGTGATGAAGAATGTTTAGGCTTTGTGTGTCTTTTGTAAGAGTGACTGCTGACCAGAAATGTTCCTTATCACAGGCATAGGCATCAGGTTGATCACCAGTGCCCAGGTCTCCCTCAGAAACAACCCAGAGTGACTCCTGAACAAAGAATACAACAAATCATTGGTAAAGTCACTTGATAGAGTAAGGTTCTATATACAAAATTACAGCTGAACCTGTATTAAGCAGCACTGTATTTAGGGGTCACCTTGTATCAAGTGTTTGCTTTTCAAAATCCCAAAATATCTTCCTCTTATTTACTGTAATTTTCACCTCTGTTTAAGGGTCACCTCTATTTAGGGGTTTAACTGTATATAGAAAGTGACATCCAGGACATGTAATAAATGACTATTGAATAGATGATGTGAGGGGCTAACTGGTTTGCATCTTATCTGAGGAGTATTTCCACAAAACCTTAGTAGAGAAGGGATCCATGGAAGGAGAGCTGTATAGAGCCTAAGGGACATCATTTTATAAACCACCTTGACCTGGTTATTCAAAGTCTCGTTAGGGCTAACCCAGGGTTACATTTTAATCTAGGTTTCTTTACTTCTTTGTTTACAAGCCCTCGTGAGATAATTTTTTCTATTCTCTTTAGGATATCCAATAGTAAAATTGTAGACAAAGAGAATTGTACTGAATTTTCTTTTAAAGCTTTCAGATCTGAAGTCAGATTTCACCTTAACCTTGGGTTATCTTAATCCAGCTTTGAATAATCCAGCGCTGGGCCATACACTGTCCATCCTTCACTGGAGATTTAGAAATTTCTTAAGTCTAACATTTGTGCAAAGTTGTGAAGTAATCTAAAGTAATAACTGCTACGAGAGTATGAGTATTTAATCTTACCTTTTTCCTCCTTTTCAGTATTTGAATGTAAACCAATGCCTGAACCCTCTGTTCCCTAACATCATTATGCATATTCCATACTGATCTCTATACATTTCCTAAAAATCTGACAATGATAATTTGTTTAACAATCAAGAGCTTCTTTACTTGTGATCATCTCCTTTATTCTTGTGTTCTTAACCCTTTGACACCTGAGAGTGACTGGCATCTAATTTCTCCCCACAATATCACCCCTGAATCAAACATTAAGGTAATGAGAATAAAGGAAATGATAAACAACTAGAAAAGCTCCTGGTTGTTAAACAAGTTCTCCTTGTCAGCAACTTAGGAAACATGTCAAGAACAGTATGGAGAATATGCATACTGATTTCAGGGTGTAAATGGTTAAGGGTTTTAGGATTAAATAATCATTATTTTTTAACATTTCAACAGGAAAAGATCTTTGCAAAGAAAAGAAAGGTATGTTTCTAGGGTCTCCTTATCATCTGTCTTATGTGAGGGAAGAGTCATCACCTCAATAACCTTGCTACTACACATTTCCTTGTAAATTGATTAAGAGAATTAGATGTTCAGTGTACGTGGGTTTCTTTGGAACACCGAGGAGCAATGATTGGTTTGCAAGGACTGTTTTCTCCTTGTGCAAACTCACATTCTAGATAGGTTTAGAAAAATGCTTCTTTCTAGTTACAGTCCTCTATTGTTTTTCTGTATCCCTTTTCAATTCCCAGTAAAATTATAATTTCTTCATCATGCCCCATACATTAATTCTGTCAATCCATAAATGCAAAAGGTGTTTTGGAAAGTTGTCTTATAAAGAGAAGAAATGCACTGTTTTGTACCACTTTTTGTCAAACTGTAAGATTTAAGATTATAGAAAGGTCTACACCCTATTCCCCATCTGAAGCTGTTTTTACCTCTTTATATACCTTTATATATGTACAATTATTACTCAGTGGTAAGTGAAGAGTATTGTGTGATTTACCTTCATCTTTGTGATTGTACCATTTTTGTTTTAGGTCGTGGGGGTGTGAGAAATGAAAGCCGCGCAGCTAAAGTTGCTCTGATGAAGATGAAGATGAAAGCTACTGGAGATGGTTCAATTCCTCAGGTTTGTCAGGTCAAGTCCATACAGAGCCATTTTTAATAATATCAAGGTTCAGAAATACTCCATATGATTTCACTTGTTTTGCTTCAATGCTTCACTTGTCTGGTTCAAGAAGATGCCATCTACATTAACCAATCAGATACAAAACTAGAAGCATTTGACTCCTTTTAAATTTTTCTTTGTCCTGGTCAGCTTTTAAGGGTTGCCTTCACCTTAGATTTACCACGCTCAGCAGTTATATTACCATTGAGGACGCCCTTGACTCTGTACAACATTAAGAGGTCCGGTGTTTAGCTAGGTGTTAGGAAACGTAAGGGCAACTTCATAGCGTAAGGAGTTACCTTTAATGGACTGGTATCTAGTCTAGTATGGTTAGCAATAATCCAAGTCACTTGGAGCCGGTTATGTACACGAGGTCTAACCCAGACCACAGTTTAACACAATCAGTGCGCTTCAGGTTTTCTTTATAAGAGGGTCGATTTTGTTAAATAAATGTCCCTCCACTGTAAGCTTTCGGCCGACTTGACACTGTTCACGAAGAAAGGTCCACAGAAAGGTCCCACTAAATTGAGGATTATTTAAGGCGCAGTTTTGGTAAACAACGACTGAACTTTATTTGAAGAATCGGACCTTAATGCTACAGTAACCAGGATAAGTTGTAGCTCTAGAGATGACCTCCAGGCTTGTAACACTGAGCCTCGAATCATTAACCCCTCGATTATTTGTGAAAACTGATTTTTTTCTGTCGTGCTGCTCCATCATTTGCTGACCACTCCTGAGCCAACTTGACGGACCCATCAGCGAACTTTCTGCCTTTTTGTTACGCCAAATGTTAGAAAAAGTCTGCTTTCGTTTTTCTTAGGAGGAACGAATCTATCTCAGAGTTCTCATGCCTCTTGGTAATAAAGAACGAGAATATCCAATGTACTTCTCCAAGGTGAGAACAACACAAAAGAAAATTACGTTAGTATCTTGTGCCTTTTTTCCTTTCCTTTCTGTTACGTTAATAACTCGCACAATGTTTCCTTTCTTTTCTCTTTGTTTGTTACGTTCGTATCCCGCGCACTGTTTTCTTTCTTCTCTGTTTGTTTTTGTTAGTATCTCGCGCACTGTTTTCTTTCTTTTCTGTTTGTTTGTTCGTTCGTATCTAGCCCACTGTTTCTTTCCTTTACTGTTTGTTTGTTACGTTCGTATCTCGCGCACCGTTTCTTTTCTTTTCTGTTTGTTTGTTACGTTCGTATCTCGCGCACCGTTTCTTTTCTTTTCTGTTTGTTTGTTACGTTCGTATCTCGCGCACCGTTTCTTTTCTTTTCTGTTTGTTTGTTACGTTCGTATCTCGCGCACCGTTTCTTTTCTTTTCTCTTTGTTTGTTACGTTTGTGTCTCGCGCACTGTTTTCTTTTCTTTTCTGTTTGTTTGTTACGTTTGTGTCTCGCGCACTGTTTTGTCTCTTCTATTTGTTTGTTACGTTAGTACCTCGCGCTCCGTTTCCTTTCTTTTCTGTTTGTTTGTTACGTTTGTATCTCGCGCATTGTTTTCTTTCTTTTCTGTTTGTTTGTTACGTTTGTATCTCGCGCATTGTTTTCTTTCTTTTCTGTTTGTTTGTTACGTTTGTATCTCGCGCACTGTTTTCTTTCTTTTCTGTTTGTTTGTTACGTTTGTATCTCGCGCACTGTTTTCTTTTCTTTTCTGTTTGTTTGTTACGTTTGTGTCTCGCGCACTGCGCGTTAGTATCTCGCGCACTGTTTTCTTTCTTTTCTGTTTGTTTGTTACGTTTGTATCTCGCGCATTGTTTTCTTTCTTTTCTGTTTGTTTGTTACGTTTGTATCTCGCGCACTGTTTTCTTTCTTTTCTGTTTGTTTGTTACGTTTGTATCTCGCGCATTGTTTTCTTTCTTTTCTGTTTGTTTGTTTGTTTGTTACGTTTGTATCTCGCGCACTGTTTTCTTTCTTTTCTGTTTGTTTGTTACGTTTGTATCTCGCGCACTGTTTTCTTTCTTTTCTGTTTGTTTGTTACGTTTGTATCTCGCGCATTGTTTTCTTTCTTTTCTGTTTGTTTGTTACGTTTGTATCTCGCGCATTGTTTTCTTTCTTTTCTGTTTGTTTGTTACGTTTGTATCTCGCGCATTGTTTTCTTTCTTTTCTGTTTGTTTGTTACGTTTGTATCTCGCGCAGTTTTCTTTCTTTTCTGTTTGTTTGTTACGTTTGTATCTCGCGCATTGTTTTCTTTCTTTTCTGTTTGTTTGTTACGTTTGTATCTCGCGCATTGTTTTCTTTCTTTTCTGTTTGTTTGTTACGTTTGTATCTCGCGCATTGTTTTCTTTCTTTTCTGTTTGTTTGTTACGTTTGTATCTCGCGCATTGTTTTCTTTCTTTTCTGTTTGTTTGTTACGTTTGTATCTCGCGCACTGTTTTCTTTCTTTTCTGTTTGTTTGTTACGTTTGTATCTCGCGCACTGTTTTCTTTCTTTTCTGTTTGTTTGTTACGTTTGTATCTCGCGCATTGTTTTCTTTCTTTTCTGTTTGTTTGTTACGTTAGTATCTCGCGCACTGTTTTCTTTCTTTTCTGTTTATTTGTTACGTTTGTATCTCGCGCATTGTTTTCTTTCTTTTCTGTTTGTTTGTTACGTTTGTATCTCGCGCACTGTTTTCTTTCTTTTCTGTTTGTTTGTTACGTTTGTATCTCACGCACTGTTTCCTTTCTTTTCTGTTTGTTTGTTACGTTTGTATCTCGCGCATTGTTTTCTTTCTTTTCTGTTTGTTTGTTACGTTTGTATCTCGCGCATTGTTTTCTTTCTTTTCTGTTTGTTTGTTACGTTTGTATCTCGCGCACTGTTTTCTTTCTTTTCTGTTTGTTTGTTACGTTCGTATCTCGCGCACTGTTTTCTTTCTTTTCTGTTTGCTTGTTACGTTAGTATCTCGCGCATTGTTTTCTTTCTTTTCTGTTTGTTTGTTACGTTAGTATCTCGCGCACTGTTTTCTTTCTTTTCTGTTTGTTTGTTACGTTCGTATCTCGCGCATTGTTTTCTTTCTTTTCTGTTTGTTTGTTACGTTTGTATCTCGCGCACTGTTTTCTTTCTTTTCTGTTTGTTTGTTACGTTTGTTTCTCGCGCACTTTTTTCTTTCTTTTCTGTTTGTTTGTTATGTTAGTATCTCGCGCACTGTTTTCTTTTCTTCTCTGTTTGTTTGTTACGTTAGTATCTCGGGCTCTGTTTTCTTTCTTTTCTGTTTGTTTGTTACGTTCGTATCTCGCACTCTGTTTTTTCTTTCTTTTCTGTTTGTTTGTTACGTTTGTATCTCGCGCACTGTTTTCTTTCTTTTCTGTTTGTTTGTTACGTTAGTATCTCGCGCACTGTTTTCTTTCTTTTCTGTTTGTTTGTTACGTTTGTATCTCGCGCACTGTTTTCTTTCTTTTCTGTTTGTTTGTTACGTTTGTATCTCGCGCATTGTTTTCTTTCTTTTCTGTTTGTTTGTTACGTTTGTATCTCGCGCACTGTTTTCTTTTCTTTTCTGTTTGTTTGTTACGTTTGTATCTCGCGCACTGTTTTCTTTCTTTTCTGTTTGTTTGTTACGTTTGTATCTCGCGCACTGTTTTCTTTCTTTTCTGTTTGTTTGTTACGTTTGTATCTCGCGCACTGTTTTCTTTCTTTTCTGTTTGTTTGTTACGTTTGTATCTCGCGCACTGTTTTCTTTTCTTTTCTGTTTGTTTGCTACGTTTGTATCTCGCGCACTGTTTTCTTTCTTTTCTGTTTGTTTGTTACGTTTGTATCTCGCGCACTGTTTTCTTTCTTTTCTGTTTGTTTGTTTGTTACGTTTGTATCTCGCGCACTGTTTTCTTTCTTTTCTGTTTGTTTGTTACGTTTGTATCTCGCGCACTGTTTTCTTTCTTTTCTGTTTGTTTGTTACGTTTGTATCTCGCGCACTGTTTTCTTTCTTTTCTGTTTGTTTGTTACGTTAGTATCTCGCGCATTGTTTTCTTTCTTTTCTGTTTGTTTGTTACGTTTGTATCTCGCGCACTGTTTTCTTTCTTTTCTGTTTGTTTGTTACGTTTGTATCTCGCGCACTGTTTTCTTTCTTTTCTGTTTGTTTGTTACGTTTGTATCTCGCGCACTGTTTTCTTTCTTTTCTGTTTGTTTGTTACGTTTGTATCTCGCGCATTGTTTTCTTTCTTTTCTGTTTGTTTTTTACGTTTGTATCTCGCGCATTGTTTTCTTTCTTTTCTGTTTGTTTGATACGTTTGTATCTCGCGCTCTGTTTTCTTTCTTTTCTGTTTGTTTGTTACGTTCGTATCTCGCGCTCTGTTTTCTTTCTTTTCTGTTTGTTTGTTACGTTCGTATCTCGCGCTCTGTTTTCTTTTCTTTTCTGTTTGTTTGTTACTTTAGTATCTCGCGCTCTGTTTCATTGTCTGTTGGTTTGTTACGTTAGTATTTCATGCACAGTTTCCTTTCTTCTCAGGTTGTTTGTTAGATTATTTTCTCACGCTCTGGCTGTTTCTTTTCTTTTCTGATCGTTTGCTGCGTTAGTATCTCGTACATTGTTTTCTTTCTTTGATTGTTACGTTATTATCTTGTACAGTGTTTTTTTTTCCTCTTTCTTTATTGTGTTAGTATATCACGACTTCTTTTCTCGTTTCTGTTTACCTTAAAGTTTTTTCAACAAAGGCTGGTGAGTGTAAGTCCGGATGGCTTTTTCTGGGCCCGCTCACTTCAGCCTATCTAGTCATACACACTTTAAGTTTCATTATGGTTTTCTCTGGGATTGCGTGCGCGGGGCCGGTTTGGTTAAATGATAATCTGCAATAGATTGAGGAATCATGCAGAGAGAGATAAAGGGAGACCTTATTACTTTTACATGTTCACTATGAAGGGCGTCTTTTCACTGAACTCTCCAGTCCTATTAGCCGCTGAGTGTGATGGTACTTGCCAAATGAGAACTACTGGATACTTTAGTATTCATGCTCAACGGATGTGAATGTAGCGAGAAAAACGAAAATGTCATAACTTTTCAGTAATTTTCGGTTTGAACTTTAGTACTGGACGGTGGGAAAAGTCATCGACAAAATTGCGGTCACTGCAAGACTGAAAAATGATAATAACAAGGCAGTAGCAAAGGTAAGAACTGTCTAACGGCCTAATACTGTTCCGTGTGAAATGTTAGGAAGCATGAGCTTAATGTTGCGTCCTTGTTGCTTGTTTTGATTGAATCACTGATTGATCGAGGTTTAAAAACCCTGTTCGTCCAACCTCTTGTTCCTTGATCTTTCTTCATTTTGTTTTGTCTTCCGGACTTACGAACTTCACTCGTAAGGGTCACATGATTCACATTGTTATTTCATCCCTCCCCCCTCCTTTACAATGCTGTTATGTTCTAGAGAAGATGATCCTCGTTATTTTAACCCTTTGGCCCCTGAAAGTGACTGGTTTCTAATTTCTCCTTACGGTAGCCACCTTGAATCTAATGTAAAGGTCATGAGAATAAAGGAAATGATCACTAATATAAGAAGCTCCTAATGGGTTAAAAACAAATTCTCCTTGTCAGTACCATGGGAAATGTATCGAATACTGTACAGAGAGGATGAAGAAGAGAAGTGATGGCGCAAATGCGAGAGCGCTCGCCTCCCACCATTGTAGCCTGGGTTCGATTTGCGGACCTGGTGTCACGTGGGTTGAGTTTGTTGTTGGTTCTCGTCCTTGCTCCTAAGGTTTTTCTCCAGACCTCCGGTTTTCCTCCCTCCTCAAAACCAACGTTCTGAGTTCTAATTCGGCATGGAAACAGTGGATAAGAAGAGCCAATTAATGGATTGTCTGCTGCGAAATCCATTTCTTTGTTATTTAAATCCCATCTAAAGGGTGTGAAGGAGTAAAGTCCCAGTGGTTCATTATGGAAGCATTATGGAAACCCACCAATGATTACTACCTATCGCCAGATATATATATATATATATATATATATTTCAAAGCTTACCTCTTTACGTTTTCGAACCTTTACGCTTATTTCAGCCTCTAATTGCAATATTGTAATTCTCAATCTTATTAGAAGCTACGACTGTTTCACGGAAGTTCTGGAGACGTTCTAGACTTACAAAATCCTTTGGAACATTTTCAGACGCAAGATGATTGCCCAGTGTTGAGTGGAAGCACAGTTGTTTTAGAATGTGTGGATGAACAATGCGCTCAACTTCTTACAAATCGAGACAAATATCCCACGTGAACGTAATAAACTTGTAAAACTTTCAATCTGTGTGTTCATATGCATCATATGTTCAATCTGTGTGTCCTTCTGGACTTCTCTGTTGAGATCGGTGAAACATTGGTTCTACTTTAAGAAAGAAAAATACGTTCTGATGGGAAAAAAAGTCACAGTGATTTACTAGTATGGGTTGTAGGGAATCACGAAACTATTTGACACAAGATGCATCCGACATATGTCATTAGTGTTGTAATCATCGATTTATTGCGTTCACGACTGAGCTAGGTACATGCTGCAATAACTACATTTAGAAAGCATATTTAGAGCTAATTTCCAGCGATGCTGCAAAAAAATTGATTCAATATTACCTCTGTGTGGCCATTAATAGGGCTGAGTGTTTCATTGTTATCCTACCCTGAATACAATCATGACTGTTATCGTCGTCATTAGTGTTGCTGTGATTGTTGTTGTTGTCATTAGTATTGATATCATTACCGTGATTACTTTATCATTATCAATAAGAGGATACTATTTTGGCTGAACTAAAATTGTATTTAATATTTTCAGAACTCTCTTAGCTCAATAACCGACGAGTTTTCCTCAGGGTGAAGGACAAATTTCTTTTAAAACCACCGAAGCTGCTTTAAGGGAATTTTCTTTGAACCGTTTGAGGAGTCGGGATTCTTTACAATTAAAATTCTCAGCTTCTGTGGTTGTGCAACTCCCTTCTTCAGCAAACACTCTGCACAGTTTAAGTACATCGTATCCTGGGTTAGTCTTTAATTTTTTGCTGAATTGACTGCCACATCTCCCATACACTTCTTTAGCGCAAATTTCACGGTCAAATCCATCTGTTGAGGTGAAAATATACAAAAAAATATGAAGAGAACCTTAGAAAGTCTTAGAATTACGATTCTTTTTAAAGGAGAAGTTTGTGTAAGACATCACGTGATTTTCAACCGCCCTTCAAGAGTTTTCCAAAATTTGCTTCCTTACGCATTTTTAGATTTCGAAGAGTTACATATACATTCGAAAACTGTCTTCAAAGGAGCAAAGATTCCACTGAAGACGCTGTCATAAAAAGGAAAGAGTATCTTGAAATCTAGTTGCACATACAAAACCACAGTGTGTGGTTCACATATAGCGGCTTACTCTTCTTACCGTAAATAGTTATCGTCCGAAACAATAATGCCTTCGGTGGAGTTCCTGATTGTTCAAACCGATCTTTAAGACATGGAAATTAAAAACTTAAGAGAGATTTACTTCAAAGATACAAAGAGTGAAATAAAACCACTTAAGTTCCGGAACAAATGAAGTCTTGACGTCTCACTTGACATGTGTATTTCACTCAAAAGGCTTTCACCGACCGAGGTTTCCCCGAGATATTCCATCGATTGTTGGATTGTGTTTCGTGAATTTCATGCAGCACACGCGAGATATGAAATACCGAGATCAGTTGTTTAGGAAGACATCACGCGCTTCGATTACATGACTTGACCAATAAAAAAAATACTGAATATAGCAAGCTAAGTGCGAAGTTGCTAGGTAAAATTAAAATGGTGGCGTCCTTAATTTTTAGGACAATTTTCGAAAGGTTCTGGTACTCTTAAGAATCTTCAGACGCGGTCGATTTCATAATCAAACATGTACTTTCCATCGGCGGAGATAGAAATTAAATGGTTTCTGGGTCAAACTTCTCCTTTCGTGCACAAAAATATTTTTAAAAACAAATAGATTCCATGTTGCTGTGCGTTGTTAAACGATAAAAATAGAAATATATCTAACCTAAAAACATTGTAAGGGTTTCCTATATTGGTGTTGGAAAAGGAATGGAAATAACATATTTGCATAAGCCATTCAGTAAACGTTGTAATTAGCCAGTTGATCATTTCTTATTCCTTTTGGCGGTCTTACCTTACAGATAGAGTTTGGTCACCTTTTCCTTATTGTGATCGTGAAATTGACATGGAGACAGATGTTTTTGCGTAAACTGCGATTTGCGGCTAGATACCGGTATATTTTCATTATGTTGCTAAAAGAATAATTAATTACTAATAAAATGACTCTACCCTATAAAAATTCATCCCGTATAGGAATTTCCTGGAAATAACCCTCCTTTATACTTTTACCCATTTACTCTCGTGTTTAGGCTAAATCCATGGTGAATTCCCAATTTAGTATCTACTTAGTATGCGAACTCCGTTCTGCGTAGCCCAAAGGGATTTGCTATTTAAGTGTAAAAGTATGACGAAGGTTAGAGATTGACAGCTCCGTAAGTGTCACCTTGGCCTCGAGAGATCAGAGCCAGTCCCCGTTGTAATAACTTGTGTAGAAGAGAGAATAAAAAAAAAGGCAACAAGACAACTAGTGTTAAAGTAAATTTTACATCTAACAGCGTCTGTACAGTCATAGATCACAGGTGACGTCAAAATGCGATAACAACGCTAGAGTGACACGGTGTGTCACTGATGTTCCCACCTCGTTTTGGCGTCTACTGTGATCTATTACTGTACATACCCACGGGAACATGGAGTGTACGTGTTTCTTTTTTCTGATGAAAAAGCAAAATACTGTTGATAGCGACGTCATCTGTGCGTTTGTTCCCCAACAGATCACGAGTAAAAACCCAGAGAATATGAACAGTTAATATTCTCCTAATAATACTTTATAAAATTAAGGGAATATCAGTTGATATTCTCTGGATAAAATCAAATAACCATTCAGACGATAAAGTAAATGATATTTCCACTTACTCATTTCCTCGATTGCCTGCAACTTCTGGAGGAACTCTGCACCGGATTCTGCAAAAGAAATATGAGTTGTTCAACAAATACTTACCGCTGGACCGTTTGAATGTGTAGTTGAGGATCTCAAATTGATTTGCAATCAAGAGAAAATAAGGAAAACAATTTTTTTGAAAAAGGAATCAACTTATTTTAGCTCGGGGAACAAGCTTCACCCTCGAATAGTTCAGTTTTTAAGATGGTCGCTTTGAAAGTTGAAATTTAAAATATTTTAGACGAAACAACTACCCCAAATGTAAATTAAGCGATGTTAGGCTTTAGGTTCTGGAATACTGATGACCATGGCTAAAGTTTTCTTTTTAATACTATCAGTCATCGATAAATTTGCCACTAACTTGTCTTAGCTTCTTCTAAGAGTTCTTTAAAGTTTTTTCGGGTACACAGTCCTGTTCTGTTGGTGAAAATCAGTTGGTTGAACATGAGAAGGCGAAGGTTTCTGGTTAACGGTTTGCGGAAGCATTTGCTGTCCTGGAGGCATTGAGCCAAACCCTAGAAAAGATATGAAAGAAATTATAAGTTGCAGGAGATCAGCTTTGTGTAGTTTCAAGTCACTGATTTTTTTTTACTTTGACCTTGAGATCTGCAACTGACAAATGACAGGATTCACACTGGTAACAATGAACAAGAGCATTGGAAAACTGCATGAAATCTCAAAAAAATATGACTCAGTCTTTACGGCTACCTTCTTCGATTCTTTTTCGATGATGAACAATTCAACATATGAACATAGGGCCAAGCAAAAGTTTGTTATTGTTGAAGTTTCCAGTTAAGCTCCTTACTCACCACGTCAAGGGCACAAGATGGCGGGTCTTCGACAGAGGGATTAAAGCTGGACGGCAAAACGTCAAAGCCCAGTTTATATTTCTTAAGACAACATTCAGTGATATTCTTGTCATCCTGGTCTGTGCAATTTTTCCCGTGACGTATTTTTAGGCACCGATCTGACTTTGGTCTCCGCTTAGCGTTCGACAACGACATCAAAACACAGCAGGTTATTAACACGACAAGCAGCAAACCTTCGGATCGTTTTGCCATGTCTGGGTCTATCAGAACAAAATAAAATAGGCAATTTGTTCGTCATGTTTTTCCAGTTAGTACGGATCTTGAATTCTAATTAGTTATGGAGACATAAGTATGGAGTATAATTTTCCTTCAAAATTTCAAACACGAGCTAAACTCCCATTAAATGAGAAAAAATTAACATGAAAAGTGTCACTGCTTTAGTCTGTAGGAAAGTCGAAAATGAGATTAATTAAGGCACGAAAATGCGAAAAAATCAGAAACATTCAACAAAAAATAATTTAAGTCGTCCATACACCAAAAGTATTTCAGGAAGAGATTCCAGACGATACGTAACAAGCTTGCTCGTGCAGATATTTTGTTACCTTCCGTTTCCCAATATTTGTGTTCTGGATTTTACGAAGCTCTACACAGTGACTAATGAAATTAGTAATTACTTACGGTCTTAGTTAACAGCTTTAGCGACTCGAAATTAAGAAACTAACTTTAGCTTAACGTGTCTTAAAGAGCGACTTTAGCGAGATGTTAGTTAATGATTCCCTATCGCGATTGCTTAACATCGGAAAGAAATGAGGCTCAGATGTGGGTAGCCATTTCTCGGCAGCCTCGTTCCCAGAGTCCTGTGGAGCTCTGCCTTGGTTTCTCAGCAGAGTGTTGAAGTGTTTATCTGTAACATCGTAAAAACTGCTGCGAGGAATATTACCACCCCTCCCCCCCTCCTCGTAAATTTGTTCGCCCTTTGAACTTAGGTGTTCAGAGTGAAATTTGACGGAGCGTAATACTTAAAACTGACGGCAACTCTAATGGGAAAATGATAAGTGTTTATCCGATTCTAGTCTCGTACCTTACTCGGCCAAGCGCCTCCATTTCATTTACAATTACACGGTAGGATCTGGGTACGAGGTTAACCCCTTCTATTGTTATTGAGATAAGTGGCGCTCAGTCGTTCAGAGCGTAATTCTTTAATTTCATCGTTTATGTAAACTTAAACGGTCCGTTGAATTTGAAAAAAGTAATGCCGTAGGAAACACCTAAACACACGTCATGTCTTTATTCTTACTGTTCGGGTAAATGAAGCAAGTTGCAACAACAAAAAGCAACAAAATTTACGCGACTTTTTTTTCTCTCTTTTTTAAGTCCTCATTTTAAATTTTAAATTTATGTCAAAATGAATTCAATGCTTCCAATGTATCTATGACAACAGCATGAACACTTGTAATGGGTTTCTAATTGTTCACTCTGCATTCTGTCACGTTTCAAACCGGAAAGAGTTGCATGTCGCACATGATGTTTTTTTTTTGTTGTGTTGCATTTTCTTTAACGACAGCTGGGAAAACTACAACCATCCGTTACGTAACCGGTGTGGACATGGTTGTTGCCACTCTTTGATAAATATTTTGTGCCTTTTGTCACTAGCAGCTCATAACACAACAATTGTGTCATAGTGACGTCTTGACTTTTTAAGAGTATTTTTTCCTTCTTAATTTACATAAAAAACTCTGCACGCAAAATAAATATTTTCCTCAAAGAAGGTGTAGTGGAAATCCGCCAAATAACACATTTTCGTATATCATTTTTTTCTTGGCTATGTTCCCTCGCATAAAACTGTGGCAAAAGAGACGAAATTAATCATTGATCGTTAATTTAATCAACTTACTGAATTTTCGCCAATCAAAGAAATGCATAATGCTTTACACAGTTAAAATTCTCACTTGTAACTCAAAAATTATCTTGATCATCGTTACTGCTCAATCACCGATCAATCTTGCACAACTTCTCAGGCTTTTGTATCACCAGATAATGTATTCAGGTATATTGGAATAAACCGATCGACTCTTTCAAGATGTGTCACTGATAAGCTACTAACGGCACTGAATGCAAGCGTAGAGACAGAGCTAAAGGATAAAGCTTTGACGACTGTGTTACACGTCACTGAAAATTCACCGGCAAGCAACATGTCTCCACCGCCTAATGATCGACGCTTTCAATTTCACTTTCAGCACTTGCTAGCACGAGCATGAAAATTGTGGAATATTTTAACCCAATACTGCAAGGTTGTCGATCATGCCTGAATTAACAACCCGGTGTAGTCTAGTCTGATGTGATACCAGAAATTGGTAAAACTTGCAGAATACATGAATCTTTCCAAATCTATCGCTTACCAACTTTCTTCAACCTCATCTTACCTTCAATTTGCCTTATCTCGTCAATCACCTCAATAAACAAATTTAAAGTGTTAACTATATATAAAGAAGAGCACTGATCAAAAGCTATCCTCCTGTTCAACTATTTTCTCATCGATAAAAACCGTCAAGGGAAGAGTTGGGAGAAGATTTAATCTGAACACTGACAGAACAAGGAAAATAACTGTGAAATTTAAAACCTTAGTCTAGAATAATAGATCCGTAAAAGAACATCATTATCATAAACTGTTCTGTGGGCCACAACTTCATTTACACCGGTTCTTAAGTTTAAATTTGAGGATGGAACCCAACGCACTTTGATAAAAGAACTGTCACAGTTCATAACAGTGCTGGATAGTCAGCGGAAACGGCGACAGTACTTGTAATGGTTAACATCTTAATTCTCCTGAAGACTATTATCTTTATTACTTGTCAATCAGGGCACGTCCTTGTATTTTCGTCTGTAAACAAAGAAGTAATCCACAACGGTATAATTCCATTTAATTTGAGTTTTCTTGATGCATCGACGTTTTAGGGAAAAAAAGCACAAGTGAGCTACTACGTGAATTAATTTTTTTGGCTTCCAAAAGGAATCGACTCGACCGCAAAAACAAAAAAAATAAATAATGAAAAATCCACCCACGAGTTGCAAAGCGGAAAAAATAAATACCCTTGGGCATTGTTCGCTTATTGTTTGAATTTGGATCTTACTTTATCACATAGATAACACTGGAATCTCGGTAAGAAAGTGGCAAAAACCCCGCGCGCGCCATTTCACAAAATATCAAGCAGAAATTTTTGCCTGATTTATGGCAATAGAAAGGCGCTTAAAATGACTGTAAACCTCGTAAATGTGCATTTTTGTTCGGTTGTGTTATTTCAGGAGTCCATTTTAATGTGCAAATATTTGTTGAGTAAAATTTTGGAATTCTAATTATTTGGTGGTTTACAGATGCAAATCGTTTAAGTCAATTTCTAGAACTGCTTTCTGTAGAACTTCGAGTAAACAAATCAATTTTCAGAAATTAACTCTTTTTCGTGCAACATTTCTTCGAGGTGAGCGCCTGGGCGCTTAATTAAAATTTCGGCTAAAAGGGGGGCTCCTAGCTCCCATTGCGCTTAATTAAGAGGAGTATATTAATCTCCTGATGCCGCTGAAGTACAAGCGTAAAAAAGTCAAAAAAAATTAATGGCAATAGAAACAGGTTTTTCTTGTATCCCTACTATTTAAGAAAGTGAGGGAGAGGGGGGAGGCAATTTTTCGTGAGGAGGATGCTTATTAAAGAGTGGGTACTCTTTCTATTAGTTGTTCTCGTTAAAAGGCTAATACAATTCTTTATATAAAACTTCTCATATGATAGGAAAATTGACGCGCCTTTTTTTTTTCCTTTTGTTTCAGAAGGATTGGCATTGCGCTTGTTGTACATTCCGAAGACGAGATTTTGACTAGTGTGCATGGTTTCCGAGAAAACCACGAGAGCGCACAATTGTGATCATCTTACCAATTTTAAATGGATAATAAAGAAAGGTTAGGGTAATTAACATTTGTCATTCCAGCTTGATTTTTTTGGACTTAATGAACTCTTTACTTTGGTATTGATACGATTACTGATACGCTACAACAAAAAGTGATTGCTGCACAAACTAAGCTCGACTTTTCACAGTTGTAAGGTCCAAGAACAAACGAGGAAAATGGTGCATTGCGATATAAAATAGCGACAGGATTTAAATAAGCAGGTAGGAAACTGCTATTGGAAATTCCTTGGACCACTCATCGACTTACGATTGTAAGAGGGACAGGAATACTTCTTGACAGTTTGTTTCTGATTTACTGAGTTGCAAGGCAAGGTATTTTTCATGAGGCAAAGTAGTGAATGTTCATTGTGTTTTTTTTTTAATAAAGAGAAACCCGCCAAAAAGTGGCCCCGTAAAGTAACCACAATATGCAAACTGGTTATTTGAAATAATTCATTTCCGACAATTACGCATCAAGAAGGCTATGCTTAGTAACCTTTTCTTTAAAAAAATGGCTTAAGTCAAACACCATCTTTGATGACCAACTTCGACAATGAAGATGAATGCTTACTTCCCTTTTGCCAATTCTCTGATATATGTTTAAAATGTAAATAACCTATCATTGGCAAACTGTTTTGAAACAGTTTGTATCAATTGACCCTTTTTTCGGAAAAATGTTTGAACTCTTTCTGGCATTTGAGGCGTTTAAAATTGATTCCCACTTTTTGGCAAACTGTTTGAAAATGAAGTTTAAAAAAAGTAGGTGATATCATAGAACGACGATTTTTACCATTTGTTTGAATAAGCCAGATCTTATGTATACTGGTAGCATTTTCGTTTGCGGTCTTTTGTCTTTTTCGAGGTGTTGCAGCTAGGCTAATGATTCCCAAGCAACAGCACTGATCACCACATCTTTTTTTAACCTCAGCATTGTACTCCACTTCTTTTCCTATTAAAATTGTCATCACTGCTCACGTTTTCTCTTCGCGAGAAGAAAGACAACGCCACGCATCCGGACTTTGTATTTGTGTATGTGTAGTGAAGTATACCTTGATATACTGTGGTCAGTCAAGGCACTGGGCCTGAGCGGTCATTTTGGCTTTACAGTTGTCACATCTTCCCCGCCAAGTTTAAATAATAATTTTGCACAATGTCGAGTACTAAATTACCGATGATATTTCAGACTGCAGATTTGTCCGTTGAAACTCGGGTAGCAGCTTATAAAAATGATATTTTGGGCTTGTGTAAACCGCGCGAAGTTCCCGATAGAATAGCGAAATACATTGGTCGAAATGTCGAGGCGAGTGGATGGAACGCAGTATGGAGAAGTACTCCTAAATCCAGCGGACAACTACATCCTTTTGACGTTGTAGTGGAGGTAAGCAGTTTTTATGTTTTCCTTATCAAAATGGCTAAAAGTAAACTAGATCGTGTTCAATTTAACACAGCGCTTGCTTTTTTTTTTCTACACGCTGTCTTCGTCGACTGTAGTTGTAATGAAGAATGTTGTCGAATTACCGGTACCTTATTTATTTCCTTGTTTAGGATTTGTTTTAACGGTACACACAGAAGCATACCTAGTCATACCTAGTCATACTTTTCAAACTGAAAACAACTACAAAATGTGGTAAGAACATCAGTGACACACTCGGCTGCGCCTCGTGTGCCACTCTTTTGTTCTTACCACATTTTGATGTCATCTGTGATCTATTACTGAACAGACGTACGACAACTTGGAATCTATTTGTTAAATAGTCTATATGTGATTGACAGGTGTCAAATGTCAATGCCAGTGACATTATGGCAGAAGTCAGTATATGTGAACCAGTGGTCACAGACTGCCTCAATGATTTAGACACTGAAAAAGTCAATGCATACCTTTGCTGTCACGGCAATCGTGTTCCTCTAACTGAGCTGTGCCCAGTGTATGATGAAACTGGACAACATGATGAAACCGCATTGGCCATTGAGCATGTCAGGTACATGTTTGTTGTGTGTGTGTGGTGTGTGTGATCTGTTGCTCTTTGATAGATCTCCTTATTGGTCTGAGAGATTTTTCAAATCTAACTTAACATTATTATATGTAATTAAATGTAAATGCAATAACTAATTTTGAAGCTATTGTTCTGTTTCACAGAACTGCTCTTGACCAATACTCTTATTGTTTTATATCAAGTTTCTTAGTAAGAATTTCAGAAACTTAAATTAGGTTTCACAGCTGAGACATTAGTAATAGTCTCTGCTTATTGTCAAGGTTTTTCTATGAGAACATTTGGAGAGAGTGGGATGAGGACGATGATGGAGAGTATTGTTATGCCGGCCGACATTTAGACACAAGAATTCAACTCTACTATGATATACAAGAAGGAAACCTTCCTAGAGATCTGGTCAACAACTATAGAGGTGGGCAATCAGAGAAAAGGAAAAATTTGTGATCTACAACATTTTCCTTCAGAGAACCATTATAAAGCATGGGTATTTAGTTTGATTTTCTAATTGTATCCTCGTGGTGGTCTGACAACAGTACTGAAAGTTAATTCAGAACCAATTGGTTTATGCATGGATAATATTAGTAATATGGGTGTCTGGCAATTAATTTCTTTACTTCTCAATAAAAAAAAGTACAAAAAGCTTTTAAAATTAAGCTATTTAATTCATCAAACAACAAAGATATCATGGTTGATGAGTGTAGCTGTACATGAAGGTCTTGATTGATCTTTTTCCCTGGACAGATAGTTATAACCAGTATAGGGAGAAGTTAGCAGAGCTGAAACAGCTTCAGGAAAAAATTGCAGTCAGTGATCTTGATGAAGAGCTTGATGAAATGGATGTGCTCAAATGTGCACAGATGTCAGAAGTGTGCGAGTCACTGGTTCATTCACTGCAGATCATAGAGAACCCACAAATGAGGTACCTCTTAGCTTCTGTGTCACCTAAACTGGTGCAGCAGGGTCCCAGGGGTAACAGACCCAGAGGAGATGAGCCTGTTACTTATATAGTGGCACCAAAGTTACAGGCTGGCATGGTCAAGTTCTATGAAGGTAATCAAATCTGTAAAGAAAACACGGTATTGAAACTTCTTTTGGTCATTCTTAATTTGTATGCAAAGGCAGATTTCACATGATTTGTAAGTTAACAGCAATGAAGGGGGTAAGTTTCTAATGAAAAGAAGCTGTGGTGCTGCATGGGTAGGGGAGTATGACAAGATAATTTGCTTTTATCAACTTGATATTGTAAAATGGCCACAGTAAAGAGTTTAAAAGCTGATGTTTCAAGCATTAGCCCTATGTCAGAGCAAAACAGTGATGGACTGGAAAAGCTAGGAATATTGTTGAAAGCAAGTTTCTTACAATCACACTATAGTTAGTAAGAATACTTTGTGATGTGATTTTATTAAAAACTGATATTGTTTACATTACAATTATACTTGGATTATCTTGATGACAATACTCACATAAAATATTGTACAAAGAGACACCTGTTAAATGTGATGTTAGATATGCTTGTGACATTTTTCCTTTGGAACCTGTCTCACAGATAACACAGTGGTGGAGCATTACCCTTGCTTGGGAAAGGCACTAAAGAGCTATTATCATGGGGATACAATTGTTGTCTATCCTGGAAAATACAAACTTGAGGGAAGAGCATATCAATTAGCAGATTCTGTTCATATCACAGGAATAGGAAATCCCTCCGAAATTGTTGGTAAATAGCTACTGGTAATCTAATAGGAAAAAAAAAATTCACTCATAGGTGTGGACAGGATGTTAGATGATATTAAGGGTTTTCTTTTTGTGTTCTTAGTTGTGGAAGTGGAGTTGTGTAAGTAGTACTATTGGCACTATGGTTATGGGCTCCTATGAATGTAGTTACCTATAGGCTCAGTCAGTACTTCATACAAGCTGTGAAAAAGATTATATGAACTTGTTATCAAAATGTCAAGCTACTATTGATATCTCTAAGTCAGGCATGAACAGTGTTTTCATTAAAATAAGCTGGCCTAGTAATAGACCTTAAATCAAAAGCACTTGGACTTGAACCTTCACTAGGTTAAAGTGGTGCATTTGTAGAAAAGGCACCTCACCTCACACAGCCTCTCTCCTGCCAAGAGTATAAAGAGATACCAAATAACTGTCTGTGAGAAATTGTGGGTCAGTGGGGGTCTGGAATAAATTGGGCCAGTGGAGCTTAGGAAGCTTAATAAATGCTATAATACAGTTTATGCAATCAGTGGTCCTCTGGCTTTCTATATGAGAGGGTTAATTTATTAAACAGGTGTGCTTCCACTGTTGTCTTTTGGCCCTCTTGACTCTGGTCACAAAAATAAATTTCAGATAAAAGGTTCAGCTATATTGAGGATTGTTTAATAGGACATGGTTTTGTTAAAAAATGGCTAAACTTTGTTTAAATAACCAGACTTTAATGTTTGCATCTGTCAGTATACAACAACATAAAATGTAAATTCTAACCAGTCATTTTGAATGAAAGTCTTCTGCAGTGATAACGAAGAATACACAATGGAATGCTGTGCAACTAACATTAGCATCAAGAATATCACCTTTGAACAAGAAGGAAATGAAAATGAGGGAGTAGTGCTAGTGAAGAGTGGCAGGGTTACATTTGATGATTGTCATATGAGATGTGAGACAAATGGTGTCACTGTGGAAAATGGAGAGCTGGTCATGAGGCAATGCAAAGTTCATGGTGCCAAGGTTAGCCTGATGGTAATTTCCTAGTCTTCAATCATAGAAAAGTTGTAGCTCTGAACCAATGTTCCCCTTATGTTTTTCCATTTTACTTTTTAATGATAATTCATTTCCATTTGCTATTGTTGGATGATCAGTTTTAAACAATGGAAGTAGAGTTTTTGAAGGAAAACATTTTAACACTCTGCTCACACTGTTAAACTTAAGCTGCTACTCAGCAGACAATATAGAGTACCATATTGGGCCATCAAAGTTTGGTCAAGCTTGTATGTGAATTATACACTTAAGTTTTTAACTTGCATGCGTAGTTTAAGAAAGGACTTACATCACATGTTTGTCCTAGTGCCAACACAAAACTTTAACAGGATGATGGAGCTAGTGATCTTTAGGTGTGTTATTGAGTAAGTTTCATCTGATATGTTACAGTCACACCAGTTCACCATTGGCTCAATTTCTGCTGCTCTATAGAATTCAGTCGTAATTCCAGCATGAGTTCTTTTACTGAACAGTGCCTCTAGAGTAACTGGGCCTAAGTCAAGCACTTCTTGGGAATCTGTGATTTAATATTACTCATCTGAAGTTTCTTACACAAAATTTGAAAAAGATTGATGTATTATTCAGCAGTTTACTCACCATGCAGTTACTGAATTAATGATAAAAATTTACCAACATGGTCAAAGTATATGTGAATTGGATATCCTTGCCCTTGTGAATGTTTATTTAGTGAAAATTGGAGACTTTTTTCAAACCTGATGGATTCCCCCAAAGCTATACCAAGTGCTATATACTTGGGCCATACTTGATGTGGTTTATTTTTGAGATATGATAGCAATTACAATATCTATCAACTATATTCAATTTGTTATCTCCTTGCTTTTTCTTAAGTCTGCAGCAATTATTGTTTCCTCTGGTGCAAAACTTGATTTACAAGATAGCAAACTGTTTGATAATGGAGAATTTGGTCAGAATTTGGATGTGTCTACTGAACTTGCCACTGGAGCCATTGTCTTGGAGGTCTGTACTATAATTCCTTGAAGTTAAATTTCACTGCTAAAAGTGGAAATTGCGACAAGAGTATGCAAAGCTCACATGAATTGCACACAAGAATTGACCCCTTCAGTTCTTCATGTTCCCAGAAAATAGTGATTTAGAGAAACTATTTAATTATTTTCATGCTTTATTATACACTGTTTAAGCATAGACAAAATAAAATAAAACTATTCACCTCAGTGTCAGTGATTGGTGGTGGGTATTAAGTTTGCCACTTTTCAGCTCAATAATTATTGACCATTAACCACCTCCACCTCAGTGAATAATTTTTAATTAGAGGGAGTGGTAGAAGGCTGATAAACAACTTCTGTTAAAACCCTTGTTTTATTGTAGTCTGAGGCAAGACACATTTATCTGTCTTCCTTGAAGTATTTGAATGAGTACTGGAGATCTTGACAAAATGCTGGGGTGAATACCAGCAATGGATAAACACTTATTCAGATGAACTAATACTCCTGTCAGCTTCATTCTTTATTATCCAGGATAAGCTCTAAGGATTATACTTGTCAGTCTTCCATGCAGAATTGTCTGTATGATGATATCAGGAAATACATGTATCATCAGGAACAGAATATTCACTTACTGGATCAACATTGATGTACCTCATATGTGCACTAATTTTCAGGCCAAGTCGGATTCCAAGAAGACCACTGCAATTTTGTCTGATAATTACATCTCTAACAATCATTGCCATGGTATTTGTGTCAAGAAGGATCAGGAAATTTTTGCTGCATGCTGTGACCCTGAGCATGGCATCAAATTGGAAATGACAAACAATGTGTTTGAGGAAAACATACATGGTGACATTGGTCACTTCCTGGTTAACAAAGACTAATCTTGTAGTTCAATGGTCAACCTTGAAGGACCTGTGTCACTATTTTCTTGTATGGGCTAAAATGCAAGGTCTTTTGATAGCTAAGGGAAAAACTTAGATGGAACACCAGGTTTGCTTAGTGGCATTAAATGAAATTCACAGAGAAAGTCAATTGTATACAACTGGATTGTTAGTAAATAGGTAGGAATGATGATAAATTGCACAAAATTAAAGCAAGGGTAGAAAAAGTATGTAATTTTTCTCAAGCAGAGTCAACACCAGATGTGTTATATTATATAAATGCCTCAGAAAAAATGGATTTCCATTCACCCTTCAAACACTGTGATGTGGTCTCATAGTTTGCATGTGAAAAAAGAAAGAATATATGAAATGCAATAAAATGTATGTATCAAGACATAATCAACGTGTCCCTAAACTTAAAAGCAATATTTTCAAATGCCCCAAGGACCTTTGAACTTTTGAAGATTTTTTTTTCCAAATTCCTGCCCCCTCCCCTTTCCCGGTCCAAATTGGTGTTCAAATGCCCTATTCATTGCTTTTATAGCAGGCAAAATCAGTGACCCTAACTTTCTACACATTGACAAAGTTTTAAATACTAGACCTTGTAGACCTTATCTTCTGAGCCTTTAGCTTGTGAGAGTGAACTCTTTACCTTAAAAAACTTGATATTTAAAAATAAAACATTTGCATTCCACTGGAAAGATTTGACACTTCTGATCACTGCATGACCACAAGAAGCTACATTCTATGAAAAAATCAGTTGACACAACATTCACTCTGCCCCCACTAAGGAGGTATTTAGCAATGGAGTGGAAATTGAACTGCATTTTATTACAGTATCTCCCTCAATCCATATCAATGTGATACAATCACACAGAAGAAAGTGCATCATTGTACAGGGAAAAGGGGAAAAGAAAGTGAAGGTATTAAGGCCAAAGTTCAATCTAATTATCAATTCTCTGCCATTCATCTCTAATTTTAGGTTTAAGAACTTGTCATTAAATTGAAAAATATCTCAATTTACAATTTTCTTCCTTTTCATTGCCTTTCTGCTCATTTGTAGAAATTCCTTTTTGCTAAATCCTGGGAGTGACTGGGTTAACCTTTAAACTCCCAAGATATCTTTAGTAATTCTCCTTAATGTCTGCCATAAAATTGTTGTTAGCTAAGAGAATTTGGTATTGGATTATCTACTAATCCCCAAATTGATATTTTCATTATTCTCATCACTTGTCTACTTGATATTGTATCGATATTGTAAGGAGAAATTCAAAAGAGGCTTGGGGACTTGAAGGTGACTTCCAGATTTCCTCTCTACCCAAGGGGATCATGAATAGTGAAAGAAAGTTGAGGAAAAAATTTCAGGTTAAACGCACTTTGCAACATAAGTAACTAACACCTGTTTATTAATGTTCCTTTGACTTTTTATATTATACCTATATAATCCCTTTTTTCAATATTGTACAACTGATAGGCAAATAACATGGTTTCATACAGGCTTTGAACTGTCAAACATTTGTTCTCCCTCTCAACTATCTCGTTAAGTACATCAAACAATCGCAAGAACTGACTCCGATTGGTACCAATGTTAAGATTCCAAATGATTATCGTTTTTTACAGCGTTCTCTCGATTTCATTCCACCTTCAATAACCAAATGAAAGATCTCATCTGAGTTCTCCTTGGCCGAGGAATACAAGATAAATCCTTAATTTTCGTCAAGGATTAATAGCTAAAGGCAATGAATAAATTATGACCCCAGTTAGATGCAAGAGATGAGTGTTTTAGTTATGATCGACTAGATTTCTTTAGATGATGATAATTTGGCAAAATCTTGGTGAGAAAATCTAATTGCAGTGTTTGTGGTACAGGCCTCTCTCCTTGCACTCTCCTACTACAACATTGTCCATAAATCACTGTATTTTCTGGCAAAGTTTCCTGAGAAGTAACTTCACACTTGGCTCCTATTACACACCCATGAGAAACACTTGTGAATCGGCCCACCTTACTCTTAGCTTCCAGGATGTTGTTATCGCCCACATTTACAGCTTCACACTGGCTGCCGACCTCAAAAACGTTATGATTTCCAATTTTCAAGACAATTTTTCCGCCAGATTGTCCATCGTCGTCAAGATAAGACGAGTTGAGTATTGTAGCCTGTTCTTCAATAAGGTTGTTGTCCCCAATAATAATTGGCCCGGCTTCTGCTATTATGCGGGCCTTGGGGTGGATGACCGTTCGAGAACCAATTGTAACCTCACCTTTTATTTCAGCCTCTTGGCAGACAACTGATCCGGAGCCAATTTTTAATTTACGAGGCGTTTGCGATGACGAATGTTTCGACATGATTTCCACCAACACAGTTGTTTTCACCAGCACAATCAATCTCGTTCTTCTTCCCACAATTCACTCCTCTTTTATGGCAATAGCCGCTGAACAATAATTTAATTATTTTTTTTTGCGGGGGTTTCATACATTAGCGTCCTTTTCAACTTATGACCAGGTTTAGGAAAATGTGTGGAAAAAAAATCAAAGAATTGTAATATGCAAATTTGTTTTTAGCTGTAAGATACGCAGAGTGGCTGTAAGTCTCACTTGAAGTAGTCAACAGTGGTCTATTTTCATCTACGCGCTCTGGAACCATAGCGTGATGATTCATCGTTCGTTTCCCCGCAAATCAGGGATTTCTTCATAGGGATCGAAATTTGCCATGCCACTGCCAAAGAAAATTCCTCGAGGTGGAAAATCCAAAAGTCAAGATGAAGGTCGTGTGTTTGCAAACCGTTATCGCGTGGAGAAACGCCTTGGAAGCGGCAGCTTTGGGACTGTTTATCTTGTGGAAGACGTGAGAGCTCCTGGGGAATGGTAAATGTGTGTTATGTTAACTAGTTTTGTCAACAACCGCCTGTTTGAATCAAAATTATCTTCGTCTGTAACTTAACTCTTCCACACATCTGGTGAGAAATAAAGAGTAGCATACTTAGTAGTTATAACAAAAATAAACAAAAAAACAAACAAATAGAACCGTCCGAAAAGTATGCGGTTGGTGGACTTTACCGGACGGAAAACTTTCACCGGCTGCCGCAGTGTTATCCTTTGTGTGGTATCATTTATGTTTATGTTTACATACCTTTAATAACAAATGTTATTCTTTAATTTTGGTGGTCCGTATTCTGGAATGTCGATACCATAGTCCCTGTATTAATGTGTAATATTGAAAAAGGGCAATAATATCAGTTTCTATAGGAACAATAATTGTGTGGGTAGAACGCAAGTGAGCACTTGATTGATTACGAACAAGTCAAAAAAGGTGAAAAAGCTGCCGCAACAGAATGTTTTAGAAGGCGACTTTTCACACACCAAATCTTTGGGAACAAAGTGCGGTGTAGTTGGATTATATTTAACTTTGACAATGACTATTACACTGATTGAACTGATTGATTTACAACTGGATTGCTAAGAAGAACTTATTGATTCCTGAAGGGGAGAAAAGGCGCTGATTCAAAAGAAAAGTTTTTTTCATTGCGAAGCCTCAGCAATTTTGCGTAATATATGAGACAAGTCTGTCCGTGTAAGATCTTTTCTAGCTAAACATTACCAAATGAATCCTCACTTCTTGAATGAAATAAATTGTTGTTGTAAAAAAAATTCTCCAGGATTCAACTCTGTTATTGATATGGACCAAGGTTACACATAAGAAATGGGCAAAGAAGATCTTATTTTCCATGCCATGGTAAAAAAAAAAAAAGAATCTATATGAGGTAAATTTAAAGTTCACCGAAATAATCTTTGAAACAGGGATCAAAATTCATTATAAAACAAACTTCTTCCACAGTAGGTTTGTAGAATTTTTTTATAACTGAAACATTTTTTCCGTAAAACATTTAGGAAGGTTTTGAAGGAAATATTTGTTGGGGAACTGCAGCCAGATGAAACAGTAGATGCCATGAGAGAAGCAAGAATGTTATCTGATGTAAGTTTAAATTTTCAGTTCATATTAATTGGGAGATACATGTATGCAAGAGGGCACAATGTAGAACAAGCAACATTTACCCTGAACTAAAAAATTAAATTTCTTAAGTGTATATCCAGTAAACAATGAGCATAAAAATACAATAAGAAAAATTTGATTTAACCCTTTAACCCCTAAGATCTGATTGTTAATTCTCCCCTCTAGCTGCAACACATTTCCTTGTAAATTAGTTATGAGCACTTGGTGCTAGATCAAGATAGCAGCCTCTACCTGATGAGTTTGAATATTCTCATGGCCTTTTTTGCAGAATGATGTATGGATATTATAGGAAGAAGTTTTGTTTTATTCACTTTTAGGAGTTAAGGGGTTAACTCGTGATATTCCCCAAGAATATTGTAGCATTAGCAATTTGAGAGAGTGCTCTCATTTCTCAGTGTCTTTGTTAAAAAAAAAAAAAAAAAAAAAAGCACTTAGTGACTTGTACTCAGATTACAGTTTTTATTTTTTAGCTAAAGAATCCCAACATTGTCAAGTTCTTGGACAGTTTCATTGATGGAGAGTTCTTTTGCATTGTTACCGAATATTGTGAGGTGAGTTTAAAATGTTTATGTCAAGCATACCTGTCTTGATTTTAAGTTTGTTTGTCTGAGATAACTTAGCATGTAGTGACAGCTGGATCATCTTCTCTATTCTTGAGTTTTCTCCCAACTTCCCCATTTAATTCATAACTTGATATTTGCACATTGAAAAGCACACACACCAATTAATTTATTATGTACTTATAGCAGCAAACTAAATAAATTTGGAAAGTATTCTAATGGATCAAATGGAAAGGCATTCTGTTCATTTGTGCTCTTAAAATAATTAATTAATTAATAATAATTGTGTAAATTTTGAATGTCTTCCCACCCACCAAAAATTGTTGCATGTCTGATCAAATTGAATGTAAATTTTCTACTGTCAATTCATTCTAACTGTTGTAATAATATACATGCAAAAATTTCGCACATCTAATTGGCTGAAAACAGGTGAATTTTTCATGTAACATAAGTGCAAAGTTGTAACATGAGAGCAAAGTTGTGACATGAGTGCTAATTACTAATTACTAATTATAGCATGAGTGCACTGCCACAATATCGCCCCTCTTGACTTTCTGTTATGCGTTTTTCATGTAAATTAGTAACAAGTAATAACATGATTCAAGTGCAATTTAGTCTAAATTAGTACTTAACAATTTTTCAACAATTGCAAATTTCACTGGCCCTATGGGTTCTTGCAATTTTTTGTTGTCTTTGAAACATTTACTTGTGCTTATTAACACCAAATTGCATTCGAAATCATGTTGTTACCTATACTAATTATAACCCAAAATTCCAGTTTGAGGAATGAAACCAAAGTTTAATGTTACTTCTGAGA